TGGTTGTTTAATATATTTATAGATGGGGTTTGTAAAGGAAGTAAATGCTAGGGTGTTTGGGAGAGGGGTGGGATTAAATTATGGGGAATCAAATTCAAAATGGGAATTGACACAGTTACTTTTTGCTGATGATACTGTGCTTATGGGAGATTCTAAAGAAAAATTGCAAAGGTTAGTGGATGAGTTTGGGAATGTGTGTAAAGGTAGAAAGTTGAAAGTGAACATAGAAAAGAGTAAGGTGATGAGGGTGTCAAATGATTTAGATAAAGAAAAATTGGATATCAAATTGGGGAGGAGGAGTATGGAAGAAGTGAATGTTTTCAGATACTTGGGAGTTGATGTGTCGGCGGATGGATTTATGAAGGATGAGGTTAATCATAGAATTGATGAGGGAAAAAAGGTGAGTGGTGCGTTGAGGTATATGTGGAGTCAAAAAACGTTATCTATGGAGGCAAAGAAGGGAATGTATGAAAGTATAGTAGTACCAACACTCTTATATGGGTGTGAAGCTTGGGTGGTAAATGCAGCAGCGAGGAGACGGTTGGAGGCAGCGGAGATGTCCTGTTTAAGGGCAATGTGTGGTGTAAATATTATGCAGAAAATTCGGAGTGTGGAAATTAGGAGAAGGTGTGGAGTTAATAAAAGTATTAGTCAGAGGGCAGAAGAGGGGTTGTTGAGGTGGTTTGGTCATTTAGAGAGAATGGATCACAGTAGAATGACATGGAAAGCATATAAATCTATAGGGGAAGGAAGGCGGGGTAGGGGTCGTCCTCGAAAGGGTTGGAGAGAGGGGGTAAAGGAGGTTTTGTGGGTAAGGGGCTTGGACTTCCAGCAAGCGTGCGTGAGCGTGTTAGATAGGAGTGAATGGAGACGAATGGTACTTGGGACCTGACGATCTGTTGGAGTGTGAGCAGGGTAATATTTAGTGAAGGGATTCAGGGAAACCGGTTATTTTCATATAGTCGGACTTGAGTCCTGGAAATGGGAAGTACAATGCCTGCACTTTAAAGGAGGGGTTTGGGATATTGGCAGTTTGGAGGGATATGTTGTGTATCTTTATATGTTTATGCTTCTAGACTGTTGTATTCTGAGCACCTCTGCAAAAACAGTGATAATGTGCGAGTGTGGTGAAAGTGTTGAATGATGATGAAAGTATTTTCTTTTTGGGGATTTTCTTTCTTTTTTGGGTCACCCTGCCTCGGTGGGAGACGGCCGACTTGTTGAAAAAAAAAAAAAAAAAAAATTAAAATTTGTAGAAAATTCAAGTCCTCTCTCTCATTTCTGCAAAACATACAGCTACTGCATTTTTGCCTGTCACTTGGACAGTCTGGCATATGGGAAAATAAGTAAGGTAATGCTGCAGCTAAATGTGCTGCCTTGAAAGACTCAACCATTTTTTTTTTCCACACAGAACCTATAAATCCCTGATTAAATACACCATCCGATACTGTAAGGGTCAAGAAGTTTAAGTTATAAATAACAAAAAGACACAATACCATGACTGGAACAATACACAAATAACCCGCACATTAGAGAGAGGAGCTTACGACGATGTTTCGGTCTGACTTGGACCATTTACAAAGTCACACTAACAGAAAGGAGAGGAGGAGGCAGTATATAAAGGCCAGAACAAGACAGGTAGTAGGAAAGGAAGCAGAGAGGTAGTTGTAGTAATAGTGTAGTCAGTCAAAGACCAAGAAAGAGGAACACTGCAAGAGAGCTAGGGGCCCACAAAGGGTAGGAGCAAAAACACAGAGGGAAGGGGGGAGAAATAAAGGACCAAACACCCAGGGCAGAAGAAAGAAAACCCAAAGAAGAAAGAGGAAAGAGGAAGAGGGAGAAGGAGAAAAAAGAATCAGGTTAAGTCACGGGTGTTCTGAAGTTTTGAGCATTTTACAATGTAATGGGAAAGGAAGGCATCTACAGATGCAAAGCCAAGACCAAGATCCATACAAGGAAAGCTGTGTTCAAGGGAGGATTCAACCAGACAGCGACTGTGAAAGTTAGAAGTAGGGTAGACAGTTTTACCAGAAGACCAGTCAATAGGATGATTGTGATCTCTGACACAACAGAAAAGAGCATTGTTGGTGTCGGCAAGCCTAACACTACTTTTGTGCTCCTTGAGTCTGTCAGAAAGAGAATGGCCAGGTTCTCCAAAGTACTGAAGAGGACAAGAGGAACAGGAAATAGAGTAGACACTAGGAGCATCTATAGAGGGAGAAGTATGAACTAAATAGGTGCAAAGACTGTTAGTCTGGCAAAAAGTAAGTTTGATGTCTAAGGAATGGAGAGAGTTGTTGAGATTAGAAAGACTGGAAATATAGGGAAGGCAGAGAACAGGAGAGTTCCCAGGAGTAGAAAGTTTAGGAAAGAAGAAAGTCCGTTCAGCACATGAGAAGGCAGAGTCTATGAAATAGGAAGGGTAGCCAAGACGAGAAAATGAATTACGAAGAGTGGAAATTTCCAATTCAAGGAACTGAGGATCACAAATACAAAGAGCACAGAGAAAGAGAGAACAGCCTCAAAGTATTCCATATGAAGATTAGCAAGAACAGGAGACCTATATAATTCCATTACAATAGGTCTTCCTGGTTCATCTTCAGACTAACAATGCATATTTGACTTGTAAATATATTAATGTGCTTGCCTATTTGTGGGTGTAGAAGTAAATTTCAGCTCCTAGCCCTGCCACTCAAAGTGACCACTACTAGGCTCACTTTCTCCTGGCTTCCTGAGCCATTATACCTATTCTTAAAGTTATGTATGGATCCTATGTGCAGCTCAGTCCAGGTGAGGACATCTTTCCTGCACATATAATATTCTTGATCTTTCTTATATTATTCAAGTTAAATGTAAATGTTAATTGTAAATGTAAATGTTGTTTCATTATTTATTGGTGATACATTTGTTGAGCAAGTTTAAAGAATCCTTCAAATTCAAATTCAAATTCAAAGTTTATTCTCTATAAGGATTACAATGCTGAGTTTACAGAATTTGGTTATTGTGTGGTTTACATGTAGTAAAATAATGATTACAGAGTGTACCACTAGAACACCTAGCATGGCTAGGCACTTCGGGCAGTCTTAGATTAAATCTTAAATTTAAAATATTACAAATTATGAGGTAAGTTGGTATTATGGCTAAGTGACTAAATACTAGTTTGTGAGTTTAGCAATGTGAGTGCTTTTGTTTTGGCACAATACAATACAATACTTATGACTAGTTAGGATTCATTATTTTAAGATTGAGATTGATATTTCTGTTTATGGTCAAATGGGTGAGTGAGTGTAAGTGTGAACCACCAAGTGGTATTCGTGTAATTAGTTGACAGGGTGTATCAGGGAGATAAGATGTTTTCTAATGGTAGCTTTGAAGGTGATGAATGTGTCTGCAGTTCTAGAGTTTTCAGGTAGGGTGTTCCAGATTTTAGGGCCTTTGACATACATTGAATTTTTGTAAAGGTTTAGTCAGACACGGGGAATGTCATAGAGATGTTTGTGTCTGGTGTTATGCCTGTGGGTTCTGTCACAACTATCAAGAAAGAGTTTTAGGTCAAGGTTAATATTGGAATTTAAGGTCCTGTAGATGTAGATTGCACAGTAGTAAGTGTGGATGTACTGAACAGGGAGTAAGTTTAGATCTATGAAGAATGGGGGGGGTGTGTTGCCAGGGATGGGATTTAGTGATTATTCTTACTGCGGCTTTTTGTTGGGTTATTATTGGCTTTAGGTGTGTTGCTGCAGTTGATCCCCAAGCACAAATAGCATAGGTGAGGTATGGATAAATAAGTGAGTGGTATAGTGTGAGAAGGGCATTTTGCGGCATGTAGTATCATAACTTGGAGAGGATCCCAACTCTTTTGGATACTTTTTTGGTTATGTGTTGGACATGGGTGCTGAAATTCAGGTTGTTGTCGAGGTATAGGCCTAGGAATTTGCCCTCATTATGTCTGGCAATTAGAGTGTTGTTGATCTTAATGTTAATTTGCGCAACTCCTGCTCTGCTACCAAACATGTATCTTACTTCCCATAGTTGAACCTTATGCTTCAGATGTGGCCCAACACAAAGCCATAGTCCCCTACCAGAATTTTTTTTATACAAGACACTGCTGATTGTACTAGTCTCTTTTCTTTCTGTATCATAAACACAAAAGATAACTGGAAAAACTTGCTGCTGCTGCTACTTCCACTTCTACTATTACTACTACCACATAATGACATCCAGTAAACACTACACAAATGCAATTGTGCATGTATATGCACACTCAAGAGTTTCTTTCTAATTTCTTAATTTGTTGCCCTAGTACTGTTTCCTTTTGATTCCAGAAAGAAGCGGGTTATAATCCTTCCTTCATAAGCAATGAATGCTGAAGGTGACTAAAATGCCAGAAGCAAGGAACTAGTAACCCCTTCTGTATCTAATGCTAAAACGACATCTATATCTCATTTCACTAAACAAATAAACCACTGCATCACTATAAGTTAACTTTTATTCCATTTCACTTTATAGACATTTTTTTTTTTAACACGTCAGCATTTCCCACCAAGGCAGGGTGACCCAAAAAGAAAGAGAAACCCAAAAAGAAAAAAAAAACTTTAATCATCATTCAACATTTTCACCATCAATCATACATAATCACTGTCTTTGGAGAGGCGCTCAGATATGACAGCTTAGATGTCCCTCCACACTGCCACAAAGCCCTCCTTTAAAGTGCAGGCATTGTGTGCTTCCCATTTCCAGGAATCAAGTCCAGTTAACCAGTTTCCCTGAATCCCTTCACAAAATATTACCCTGCTCACACTCCAAAATATAAAACACTGTGTTCCTGTTTCAATTATCACATTAATAGTTAATAGACCACATTGTAGTCAGTCCACTATCAAATTTAGTCACCTCTTACGACACACATGGCTTACAGAGGAAGGATTCTTCTCCACTTCCCCATGGAGTATATATGAATATGCTCATTTTCAAAATAAATATGTGAAATTTGGCCTTACCTGGTCATAATGTCGAGTGCAGAACCAGCATCAGTATATACCTGAAGGAACACTTCTAGCTCTGTCCCCTTCCATCGTGACTGACGACAGGGGTCTACCACCTTTTCCACTGTGTCAACGAAGAAGTCCCGCATGTCTCTGGTGTTATTAAGGGCACATCCAATATTAATGATGCCTCGTGAGTACACCTTGAAATTGTTTTCAACTTCTGAACACATACGGTCTGGAATTTTCCCACGAAGATGACTTAAAGTCACACTGTTAGATAAACAAAAATCAAAATATATAAACTAGAGAAGTTTCATATAGAATTTATGATTATTATTCCTACATTCATGGGGGGGGGATCACTAAACCCGTAGGGATCACATAGTACCTGGGAGAATGGGAAGCAATCAAGTTCAATTCAAGGAAAGGATAGGTCCAAAATCAGGGTTAGCAGCATTCTGCAACTAAATAAAGTTTTATGACCCCAAAATTGCAATATGGTCATACTGCAGTTTTGTATTAATGTTTTTTTAACAAAACTTATTTGTAAGCAGAAATATCAGGAGTGCAACAAGTTTGAAAGTTGAGTAACTTCCTTTACCAAGTTTTGTTTTTGCAAAATTCAGTGTGTGAGCAAGTATTGTACTGCACTGCAGTACAGGAGGGCCCCACTTGTGCAGCAGGTTAGGGTGTGGACTACTGCTGTAAAAGCAAAAATCGCTGTAAAATGAAACATAACTTTTTTCACTTTCAAATGCATATAAAAAAGACACAACATGTTTACACTATCATATGTATATTAAGTAAGCAAGAGAGCTAGACCTAAAAAATGCATATACGGTACACACAATACTTACCTTAAAATATTTTCATCCTTACTTATAGCAAGTGGTGAATATATTTATTGTTGGAAGTCTGAATAAATGAAGAATGGTATAAATGAAGAATGGTATTAGTGAAACAGTGTAAAGCAGGGCCCTTCTATGCTGTACTGCACTACAGTACTGCATTATATTATGTAATACAGTAGCTTCCCCGTATCTGCAGATGATACATTCCAAGACCTGCCAGGGATGCTCAAAACTGCAGATAGTAGCAAACCATATATATAAGGCATTTCATTTACATATACATATAGTACCTACGATAAAGTTTAACTGATAAATTACACACAGTAAGACATGAGTGTTGATGGGCTATTATTAAGCAAAATGCATAAGGGATATTTTCACAACAACACTGCAATAATGCAAAGTTCAATTTTCTTGGAGTCATTTTAACTACTAAATTTATCTCTACAACCTCCCTAAGAGACTGTATTAAAAAGCGCTCAGTTAGTCATTGCCTCATTAATCTCAAGAAAGTCTTAAGTTTGCCCGAAATACTCTGCACATAAAGGGATTTTCTGCACACACACACCTGAATGTTATTCATCTCTCTACAAACACCGTATCATGCTGAAACTAAGAATCTTAGTCTTAACCTTAAAAACTCCACACATTGCCATAAAAACAACTTTCAGAAAGACTGACCCCTCATAGTACGTACAATAGGTTTAATTTACCTCCCAAAACTACAGCTAATATACAGAAATCATAAGAAACAGATAATGAAATGGACAACTACACATTACAGTGAAAGATATTCAACAAGAATCATGTAATATTTACTTTCGATGCTCTTTTTCACGATCCAATAAAAACTTGAAGTCCCTGAGCTCAATCAGGAAGTCACGATCAAAATCTGTGTCATCTCTTGCATCTGGTCCAGTGTTGGCACCCCCAGCAGCAAGAGGACTGGCAGTCGTCCAGGTGGACATCATCAGTGAGGCACACACACAAAAATCCTCAAAGGTGAGATAATTCAGTTTGCGTTTGCTGGTCTCAAAGCGGTTGTTGATAATGAAGACAATAGCTGCATATTTTCTGAAATTGAAGGAAAAATTATCTACTCACGTACTCAAACAATGAACAAGAAAACTAGATATGTAACCATCCTCTTCCCCCGCCCCCAAAAACACTATTAGTTTTATACAAGAAAAAGTTAAGATGAATTCTTTAAAAGTTATGGGGTTAGATCAGTTCCAAAAATGAGCACGTTCATTGATTTGACGTAAAAAGTTTAGTGGTTACAGGAATAAACACAAGTTAAACAATATATACACCCACTTCTCACTTAGCAACATATTCATTTACTGACACCTCAGACTTATGATGGGCTCTTTGACCAGTATGCATACCTAAATACTGTATATTAGAGCTGATTTCCTCTATTCTCTTTATTACAGTATACAGTACACTACTGTATAAACATTCAAAAATATACCAGAAATGTTATAAATAGTGCAAAAGTGACATTAAAAAATGTCTAGAGATGATTGACACAAACCCACTACCAGTATAGTATGCTCGTCGCTTAACGACCAATTCACTTACCTACCTATTCCTAGGAATGGAACCCCATCATTAAGTGAGGAGAGTTTGCAATTATGTTGAAGAACTCAACCCAAAGGGGTCATACAACATATGGGTAAAGGGAATTAGTAGGTTAGATCCAAGAAATGAGATTAACCATTTCACTGTCGAGACCCCTGCTCACAATCTTGCTCTCAGTGTTGAAGAACTTAAAAAAATATTATTTTTTCTTATGAAACGATAGAGAATCTTTTTCCGATGGTAATGACACCAAAAGTTCGAAATTTGATGGAAAACTTATGGAAATACTCTCTCATAAATTCAGCGGTCTCGGCAATATTCATGAATCGATGATTTCGCCCACTTTGAGCCTAATTTTCGGCCAATTCCAGTGTTCCAGTCGACCAAACTCATAGCTGTTTCGCTAGAACTCCATTTGTCCTATTGATTGAGTACAAGAAACCACCCATTTACCGATTTCAACTACCCAATAAAGTGATGAGAAATTGGTAATTTTGCCAGTTTCATACACAATTCAAGTAACACCAATTTCAAAATAGGGTTCAAAATTAACAATACAAACATTCCTAGCACTAAAATAATATTTTCTCTATTCATTAGTCATGTCTCCAAGCCCCTCTTATATTATGCTTGCTTTCCATTTTGAATTTTTATTCACACAAAAAATTGAAGATTTACTGTTATGCAGACTATTGCATTATTGTAAAAATGGTATAAATAATATCAGTGCATATGTGAAAGCATATTAGATTCACCAGTTGACATGTATTGCACATGTGACATGATTTATTTACTCTTGAACATAGGCAAAAATTGAACATTTCCACTACTCTGAGTTCAATGTCAAGGTATTTTTTCGTCCGTAAACCATTCAAAATCATCTCTATTTCTGTAACATATTTTCCAGTCTATCAAATGAGACCAAGAAAACGAGAATACAACCATGAATACCATATGAAAATACACTGCAAAGTTGGCGTTTTAAACGAAAAACACAGCAATCCTACAGCACTAAGTGCTGCAGGATTTTTTTTATACTGTGCACACTGATTACTCAGACTCATTCTCTCATATGTAGGCCTACCAGCATTCTCCTGCAATATTTGAAGCCGCTAGAATTTTGGCGTAATATTACAGGACCAACACTGGCTTGCAAACCGTAATATTACAGGACCGATAGTGAAAGAGTTAATACCCCTACAGCGGCAGTGTAGGGGCTGATCCTCAGCTTACAATGGTGGTTGTGCTCTGATGAACCCATTATAAATAAAAAATATTGTAAGTCAAATATAAATATAATATGCTAAATAAATGAGTAAATCAATAACTACTGTCACTAAATAAGTAAATAAATAATTCCTGTAACTAACTAAATACCAGTATTGAAAAGTAAAAAAATGTATACAAGTTATGGACTTGCCGCCCTCATGATGGGTAATTATCTTAAGTTTGAGCTCCAGAGTAACTGCTCTTGCAATATCATAAAGTCGAAATACTGTAAGTCAAACCACTGTACGTCAAGGAGCACCTGTATATAAAAACTAAGACTACTTGATCAAGAACATGTGCAGCTAGTGAAGCCATGATGAAGCAAAGACAGACTGCTCGACTCACTTGGCCAGAGGAGTTGACAGAAGAAACACTGACTGAATGTTTGTGACAACGGAGCCGGTCATTTCATCCACTTGCTTGAAGATCCGCTTAACGTTATCAAACTGTCGCCTGAAAAAAACAGAACAATACTTGAGCCAAGAATTAATGCATTGCAACTGAAGTTTTATTTAGGTGAGGAGCAATAAAACAATAAACTTCATACATATTAAAATGATAAAATAAAAAGCTATGTCTACACACCAGTCTTTCAATAACCTCGCAGATTTGGTTACTACGACAATAAAAATATTACACAACATTTACAGTACAGTGGACCCCCGCTTAACGATCACCTCCAAATGCGACCAATTATGTAAGTGTATTTATGTAAGTGCGTTTGTACGTGTATGTTTGGGGGTCTGAAATGGACTAATCTACTTCACAATATTCCTTATGGGAACAAATTCGGTCAGTACTGGTATCTGAACATACTTCTGGAATGAAAAAAGATCGTTAATCGGGGGTCCACTGTATATTTAAAGTGACTGGTAACTATTCATGACTAATAAATTACAATATGTAATATATTTCTTAATAAAAAAACAGTTCCAGTGACCCATTACAGTGGAACCTCAAAAATCGAACGCATCACATATCGAACGTTTCGAAAATAGGACCATTCTTTCGGACAAACTGTGTCCCTATTATCGAACGCACCCCTATTTTCAGATCGCCGGGTACGGGACCTGTCTACCGCCCGCTCTGTCCGTGTCCCCGTGCAGGCACCGTGAGCAGTCTAGCTTTGTTATGCTTGAGTGAACACTAACCTGCGCTCTCATTCACGTATTTTACGATTATTTCGTTGTGTTTAGTGCTTGTGGGACTGTGAAATAAGCTGCCATGGGCCCAAAGAAACTTGCTAGTGGTACCCCTGTGGTAAAGAAAGTGAGAAACACCATAGATGTGAAGAAGGAAATAATACAGAAGTATGAGAGTGGTGTGAGACTTGTTGAGCTTGCCAGGATGTATGGACAAAACAAGTCGACCATCGGTTCTATCCTGTCAAAGAAAGAACAAATCAAGGAAGCTGATGTTGCAAAAGGTGTTAACATAGGGAGTGGATGAGGCGCCTTCTTCAAAGATTAAGGAGATTTGTGCCAAGTGGAATGATGTCCAAATGTTTGTGGAGAAGTACCACCCTGAGCAAGCTGAAACAAGCCATCTTTGCAACAAGTTCAGTGACAGAACCATGTCCCATTTTAGGGGAATGTTAGAGGCGCCAGAAACAGAGGACTGTGGACAGTTATTTTGTGAGACAGGGGTCCACTGACTCTCAAGCTGGTCCTAGTGGCATTAAAAGACAGAGAAGGGAAGTAACCCCAGAGACGGCTTTACCTGAAGTCCTCATGGAGGGGGATTCTCCTTTCAAACACTAACCCCAATTCCCTCCCTCTCTCCTCCCTATCTACCAGATGCCATCACCAATCTTCAATAAAGGTAAGTAAAAATGTTATTTTATATGTATTACAATCCATAATTAAAAGCTATAGTATTTGTTGTATGTAAAACTGTAATTAATCTCTATAAAAAGTATTTTTTGTGTGAATATTTTTGGGTTTCTGGAACGGATTAATTGTATTTCCATTATTTCTTAAGGGAAATATTGCTTCGAATTTCAGACTTTTCAAATTTAGAACTAGCTCCTGGAAAGGATTAAGTTCAATTTTTGAGGTTCCACTGTATAATAAATAATAGTTACTAAGACCTTTCGCATTATTTTCAGCCTACAAAAAATACTCGCACCTACAATGTTTATTGCCATACCCACAGCTAATACATTATACTTACTGTACAGTGGACCCCCGAGTTTCATCGGCATCAACTTTCATGAAATCCGACTTTCGGCAAGTTTTTTTGGCAAAATTTAGCCTCGTGGTTCGTGATTGGACTTGTGATTCGGCAACCATCCGCCCGTCACCGCGCACACAAAGCCAGTCTCCCGCACCATTCACACTCAGTGTGCCATTGTTTACCAGCATGTGACCATCACCCCGCGGGTTCATACAATACATTTCATAATGATCCATTGTTTTTTGTGCTTGCAACTGCTAAATAAGTTACCATGGAAAGCTAGTGCAAGCCCTTTGGTAAAGAAAGTGAGGAACACGATCGAATTCAAGAAGGAAATCATTGAAAAATATGAGAGTGGAGTGCGTGTTACAGAAATTGCCAGGATGTATGGCAAACCCCATTCAACCATCACTTCGATCGTGGCAAAGGGAAAGGAAATAAAGTGTCCTGTTGTTGCAAAAGGGGTAGATATGCTGACAAAAAAGAGATCGCAAATCCTCGAAGAAGTGGAAAGGTTATTGTTGGTGTGGATTACCCAAAAACAGTTAGCAGGAGATAGTATTATGCAGTTGATAATATGTGAAAAGGCAAGGCAGTTGCATGATGATCTCGTAAAGAAAATGCCTGCAACAAGTGGTGATGCTTGTGATTTTAAGGCCAGCAAAGGTTGGTTTGAGAGATTTAAGAAGCGTAGTGGCATTCACAGTGTGATAAGGCACGGTGAGGCTGCCAGTTCTGATAAAAAAGCAGCTGAGAAGTTTGTACAGGAGTTTAAGGAGTGCGTAGACACTGGAGAATTCAAAACCCAACAAGTGTTTAATTGTGATGAAACAGGCCTCTTTTGGAAGAAAATGCCAAAGAGGACCTACATCATGCAGGAGGAAACGGCTCCCAGGACACAAGCCTGTGAAAGACAGGCTTACTCTCATGTTTTGTAGTAATGCTAGTGGGGATTGCGAAGTGAAGCCTTTACTGGTGTATCACTCTGAAAATCCCAGAGTGTTCAAGAAAAACAGTGCCGCCAAGAGTAATTTGTGTGTGATGTGGAAGGCTAACAGTAAGGCATGGGTCACAAGGGAAATTTTCCTAGACTGGTTTAATGAAGTGTTTGGCCCCAGTGTGAAGAAATACCTCCTGGAAAATAAGCTGCCACTCAAGTGCCTCCTGGTAATGGGCAATGCTCCTGCTCATCCTCCAGACTTGGAAGAGCAAATAGTGGAGGAGTTTAGTTTCATCACGGTGAAGTTCTTGCCCCCTAATACAACTCCTCTCATCCAGCCCATGGACCAGCAGGTCATTTCAAACTTCAAAAAACTGTACACCAAAGCAGTGTTTCAAAAGTGCTTTGAAGTGACCTCAGACACTGAATTGACCCTAAGAAAGTTCTGGAAAGATCACTTCAATATCCTCACTTGCATAAACCTTACAGGTAAGGCTTGGGAAGGAGTGACTTGCAGAACTTTGAATTCTGCTTGGAGAAAATTGTGGCCAGAATGTGTACAAGAGAGGGATTTTGAAGGGTTTGGGGCTGACCCTAAGGTGCCTATGCCAGCTGTGGAATCTATTGTGGCATTGGGGAAGTCCCTGGGGTTGGAGGTGAGTGGCAAGGATGTGGAAGAGTTGGTGGAGGACCACAGGGAAGAGCTAACCACTGAAGAGCTGCAAGAGCTTCATCTGCAACAGCAACAGATCACAGCTCAGGAAACTGCTGCAGAGGAGAGGAGGAAGAGAGAAGGAGGAAGGTGCCTTCTTCAAAGATTAAGGACATTTGTGCAAAGTGGACTGAAGTGCAAACATTTATGGGTGAACTTCACCCTAACAAAGCTGTTGCAGGCCATATTGGCAACATGTACAATGACAGTGTTGTGTCCCACTTCAGACAAATCTTAAAGAAACGCCAGACACAGAGATCTGTGGACAGATATTTTGTGCGACAGGGGTCCAGTGACTCTCAAGTTGTTCCCAGTGTCTTTAAAAAACAAAGAAGGGAAATAACCCCAGATAAGGACTTCATACCTGAAGTCCTAATGGAAGGAGATTCTCCTTCCAAACAATAGTGTACACCTTCCTCCTATCCCCTCCTCCCGTCTTCCATCCACCCAGAAGCCTTCAGTAAAGGTAAATGTAATGATATTATTATTTTTTATATCTATGTACTTGATTTCTCATTGTTTTAAGTATGTAAATCTTTATTTAATTTGAAAAAAATATTTTATTTTAATATTTTTGGGTGTCAGGAACGGATTAATTTTATTTCCATTATTTCTTATGGGGAAAATGGTTTCACCATTCGGCAATTTCGACATTCGGCAGACTCTCTGGAACGGATTAATCACGAAACTCGGGGGTCCACGGTATATGACTTTCATATTTTCACACACAAAAAAAAAAAAATAAGGAATTAACATTATATTTTACCTTTCTAAGAAGAATATGATAATTATCATCCAGATTATAATGAAACTTTTATGGACTAAAACAGGTACTTCAATCTTCAGGTTGAATCATCCATTCTTCAGACTGAAGAATTTTAAATCTTACATGTGTATGCCTTATGTATACTGCCTGTGGCTGTATAGTAAGGTGTGGCTGTATAGTAAGGTGTGGCTGTATAGTAAGGTGTGGCTGTATAGTAAGGTGGTGTAAGTAGGTGTGGCTGTATAGTAAGGTGTGGCTGTATAGTAGGTGTGGCTGTATAGTAAGGTGTGGCTGTATAGTAAAGTGTGGCTGTATAGTAAGGTGTGGCTGTATAGTAAGGTGTGGCTGTATAGTAAAGTGTGGCTGTATAGTAAGGTGTGGCTGTATAGTAAGGTGTGGCTGTATAGTAAGGTGTGGCTGTATAGTAAGGTGTGGCTGTATAGTAAGGTGTGGCTGTATAGTAAGGTGTGGCTGTATAGTAAGGTGTGGCTGTATAGTAAGGTGTGGCTGTATAGTAAGGTGTGGCTGTATAGTAAGGTGTGGCTGTATAGTAAGGTGTGGCTGTATAGTAAAGTGTGGCTGTATAGTAAGGTGTGGCTGTATAGTAAGGTGTGGCTGTATAGTAAAGTGTGGCTGTATAGTAAGGTGTGGCTGTATAGTAAGGTGTGGCTGTATAGTAAGGTGTGGCTGTATAGTAAGGTGTGGCTGTATAGTAAGGTGTGGCTGTATAGTAAGGTGTGGCTGTATAGTAAGGTGTGGCTGTATAGTAAGGTGTGGCTGTATAGTAAAGTGTGGCTGTATAGTAAGGTGTGGCTGTATAGTAAGGTGTGGCTGTATAGTAAGGTGTGGCTGTATAGTAAGGTGTGGCTGTATCACAGACCCCTGGCATAATGCAGGATCAGTATACAGTAAAGAAATATTTCCTTATTCTAGCCTCTATGAACCTTTCAGTCCTCCTCAAAACTTCTCCATAATCATTTAACTCACAAATATTCTTACAGCTTACTTCACATATACGAACCCATTCTTTCAAGCAAATGTTGCTATTTTAATGTAATTCAGAATTGCTGGTAAAGTGACTGTGATACTAAATTGGGAAATTGGAATTTTGCTTTTCTTAATGAACCGGCCGCATCCCACCTAGACAAGGTGACCCACCGAGGCAAGGTGACCCACTGAGGCAAGGTGACCCACCGAGGCAAGGTGACCCACCGAGGCAAGGGATTTCTAGCCCCTTGCTCCCAGCATTTTAGTTGCCTCTTACGACACGCATGGCTTACGAAAGAATTCTTTTCCACTAAAACTGGAATTACACTGTCTTATTTTCGCACTTGTCAGTGAATTCCTGTGTGTTCATAAAAACATAGTTTTGTTATTATGAACTATTGTATACATTGTATTAATGAATATTTTACTGTAGGGTAATTGGTTAAATTTGGTTAATTAACTTATCCTGACCAAACATAAATAGCAAATGTAGAGAAACTGGTTTAAAAGTATACATTCAATACAGCAAAAAACTAATGCAGAGGACATGTTAACATCTCCACAGATCTCAGCAATTCATTTTAAGCCTAATTAACCCATAAAAACAACAACTCTGCCTTGAGGTTCATTCACACAACTTTACAGTGTCAATATCTCGGAAAATCCACTATTTTTATCTATTTACAAAACAATACTACCTGCATGATCGTAGTAGGACGCCAGTCTTTTCAGCAACATCATCAAGATCTTTGCGTGTTCTACTGGAGAGCTTCTTGCCAAGAATCTCTCGAATGACTATATCATCAAATTCATAATATCTGTAATAATAGAAATGACAGTTTAGTGATTAATAATGATAAATTGTTATTATGCATATTAAACAAAGACTTATATCCTTTCATATGTTTGACAATAATTATTGTACATCATACAAGGGAGAACCTAAATGCCGAATAAAAACACAAACTGGCAGCATTATTCCTAAGCTAATGTAAAACAGGGAAAGGTGACAGTTTTCTTTAGAGTAACCCTGGTGGGTTATTAACCCAGGACAATATAAGAAAGTGAAATAATGTTGTTTATTTCTATTTTGCATTTGGGTCCCCTTCCCTAGGATGCAACCCAAAATTGCTGACAAACACCCAGTTATCTATTTACTGCTAGAGGAGCAGAGGCAGCAGGTGTAATGAGTCTTGCTTACATATTTCATCTAGTACTACTGTTACAATTACTAAATTACATCATATTTCCTAATTAAACTCTCAGAGTAGGTCCTCTTGCTCAGTAGGCAACACTCTCACCTCACACACTGAGTGTCCATGGATCAATCCCCAGCATGGGTGGAAATGTTGGGCATGATTTCTTACACTTGATGTCCCTGTTCACCTAGCAGTAAGTAGGTACCTGGGTGTTAGTTGACTGGCATGGGTCACAACCTGGGGGACAAGATTGAAGGACCACAATGGAAATAAGACAGACAGTCCTCAATGACGCACCGACTTTCTTGGGTTATCCTGGTGGCTAACCCTCTGGGGTAAAAATCCGAACAAATCTTATCTTATCTAACCTTATTCCTTCAAATTCTTGCCCTTCTCACCCTCATACAGTGTTAAACACTGACTTCAGATTACCTTATTTACACACAGTATAATACATTTTACACTATTTGAATGTAACAAATTAAGTATCACACTGGGCAAAGACCCCTGAACATGGGTCAAACTGACCATGGTATGGGTGAGGCTTGAACAAGCAGCAAGTTGTAAAACTCAAGGCCAGCGGGTAAGCCACTGGCCCAGAGGCTTACGCACTGGCCTGGAGTTTTATGACTCACTGCAAGTTCAAGCCCCACCAGTACCGTGGTTTGTTTGCAATCATGTCATTACAACTTCATGACTCATATCAAACTGAATGGTTCGCATTCTATCATTTATCAAAGCAAGTTACTTCAGATTATTTGGTCTGAATAAGAGGAAAAATTCAGATATTTATAATCATGTTAAGAATTCCATATAAACTGAATACTTTACTTTCATGCATATATGTTTGATGAGTTTTAAGAGTTATTCTATTCCCAAAGCCTGGTCTTCAGCCAGGCTCATCACTATTGCTGTAAAAAAAAAATTCTCCTTTACCATGATAAACAAAGGGCTATATTACTTTTGAATGACCATCTTCTGGACTGCAGGTTCCAGTTGAAACGTCCATTCCTCTGCTAGTTTAGTGGGTGTCTGCAAAAGTTTTTCTAGCAAGCCGAAGGTGCGGTAGTGGTCAGCCGTGTCAGAGGTCAGCAGCTCCAATGTAGCACCCCATGTCTCCAGTTCACCCCGTTGCTGAAGTACCGACACAGTCTCCACCACTGTGGAGAAACATGCATTAAAAGATGAAGACAAAAATAAATTCTCTAAATTACTAAGATAAACTCTCCCTACCATAATGTCAGACTCCGCTGAAAGTAAACAATAATGGCTTAGTAAACATGGCCATTTATGACTCTTGTTTTTTTAACTATACTGTAGTGTTTAAAAGATATGTACATCACTGTATACCTCATAGTGTATGATAATCTATTAACTGTATACAGTGGACCCCCGGTTAACGATATTTTTTCACTCCAGAAGTATGTTCAGGTGCCAGTACCTGGAGACCTGGAGAGAGTTTCGGGGGTCAACGCCCCCGCGGCCCGGTCTGTGACCAGGCCTCCTGGTGGATCAGCGCCTGATCAACCAGGCTGTTGCTGCTGGCTGCACGCAAACCAACGTACGAGCCACAGCCCGGCTGATCAGGAACTGACTTTAGGTGCTTGTCCAGTGCCAGCTTGAAGACTGCCAGGGGTCTGTTGGTAATCCCCCTTATGTGTGCTGGGAGGCAGTTGAACAGTCTCGGGCCCCTGACACTTATTGTATGGTCTCTTAACGTGCTAGTGACACCCCTGCTTTTTATTGGGGGGATGGTGCATCGTCTGCCAAGTCTTTTGCTTTCGTAGTGAGTGATTTTCGTGTGCAAGTTCGGGACTAGTCCCTCTAGGATTTTCCAGGTGTATATAATCATGTATCTCTCCCTCCTGCGTTCCAGGGAATACAGGTTTAGAAACCTCAAGCGCTCCCAGTAATTGAGGTTTTTATCTCCGTTATGCGCGCCGTGAAAGTTCTCTGTACATTTTCTAGGTCGGCAATTTCACCTGCCTTGAAAGGTGCTGTTAGAGTGCAGCAATATTCCAGCCTAGATAGAACAAGTGACCTGAAGAGTGTCATCATGGGCTTGGCCTCCCTAGTTTTGAAGGTTCTCATTATCCATCCTGTCATTTTTCTAGCATATGCGATTGATACAATGTTATGGTCCTTGAAGGTGAGATCCTCCGACATAATCACTCCCAGGTCTTTGACGTTGGTGTTTCGCTCTATTTTGTGGCCAGAATTTGTTTTGTACTCTGATGAAGATTTAATTTCCTCATGTTTACCATATCTGAGTAATTGAAATTTCTCATCGTTGAACTTCATATTGTTTTCTGCAGCCCACTGAAAGATTTGGTTGATGTCCGCCTGGAGCCTTGCAGTGTCTGCAATGGAAGACACTGTCATGCAGATTCGGGTGTCATCTGCAAAGGAAGACACGGTGCTGTGGCTGACATCCTTGTCTATGTCGGATATGAGGATGAGGAACAAGATGGGAGCTAGTACTGTGCCTTGTGGAACAGAGCTTTTCACCGTAGCTGCCTCGGACTTTACTCTGTTGACGACTACTCTCTGTGTTCTGTTAGTGAGGAAATTATAGATCCATCGACCGACTTTTCCTGTTATTCCTTTAGCGCGCATTTTGTGCGCTATTACGCCATGGTCACACTTGTCGAAGGCTTTTGCAAAGTCTGTATATATTACATCTGCATTCTTTTTGTCTTCTAGTGCATTTAGGACCTTGTCGTAGTAATCCAATAGTTGAGACAGACAGGAGCGACCTGTTCTAAACCGACCGAATTTGTTCCCATAAGGAATATTGTGAAGTAGATTAGTCCATTCCATTCCCCCAAACATACACGTACAAACGCACTTACATAAATACACTTACATAATTGGTCGCATTCGGAGGTGATCGTTATGCGGGGGTCTACTGTACTGTTTACCTGGAGTTTACCTGGAGAGAGTTCCGGGGGTCAACGCCCCCGCGGCCCGGTCTGAGACCAGGCCTCCTGGTGGATCAGAGCCTGATCAACCAGGCTGTTGCTGCTGGCTGCACGCAAACCAACATACGAGCCACAGCCCGGCTGATCCGGAACTGACTTTAGGTGCTTGTCCAGTGCCAGCTTGAAGACTGCCAGGGGTCTGTTGGTAATCCCCCTTATGTGTGCTGGGAGGCAGTTGAACAGTCTCGGGCCCCTGACACTTATTGTATGGTCTCTTAACGTGCTAGTGACACCCCTGCTTTTCATTGGGGGGATGGTGCATCGTCTGCCAAGTCTTTTGCTTTCGTAATGAGTGATTTTCGTGTGCAAGTTCGGTACTAGTCCCTCTAGGATTTTCCAGGTGTATATAATCATGTATCTCTCCCTCCTGCGTTCCAGGGAATACAGGTTTAGGAACCTCAAGCGCTCCCAATAATTGAGGTGTTTTATCTCCGTTATGCGCGCCGTGAAAGTTCTCTGTACATTTTCTAGGTCGGCAATTTCACCTGCCTTGAAAGGTGCTGTTAGTGTGCAGCAATATTCCAGCCTAGATAGAACAAGTGACCTGAAGAGTGTCATCATGGGCTTGGCCTCCCTAGTTTTGAAGGTTCTCATTATCCATCCTGTCATTTTTCTAGCAGATGCGATTGATACAATGTTATGGTCCTTGAAGGTGAGATCCTCCGACATGATCACTCCCAGGTCTTTGACGTTGGTGTTTCGCTCTATTTTGTGGCCAGAATTTGTTTTGTACTCTGATGAAGATTTAATTTCCTCATGTTTACCATATCTGAGTAATTGAAATTTCTCATCGTTGAACTTCATATTGTTTTCTGCAGCCCACTGAAAGATTTGGTTGATGTCTGCCTGGAGCTTTGCAGTGTCTGCAATGGAAGACACTGTCATGCAGATTCGGGTGTCATCTGCAAAGGAAGACACGGTGCTGTGGCTGACATCCTTGTCTATGTCGGATATAAGGATGAGGAACAAGATGGGAGCGAGTACTGTGCCTTGTGGAACAGAGCTTTTCACCGTAGCTGCCTCGGACTTTACTCTGTTGACGACTACTCTCTGTGTTCTGTTAGTGAGGAAATTATAGATCCATCGACCGACTTTTCCTGTTATTCCTTTAGCACGCATTTTGTGCGCTATTACGCCATGGTCACACTTGTCGAAGGCTTTTGCAAAGTCTGTATATATTACATCTGCATTCTTTTTGTCTTCTAGTGCATTTAGGACCTTGTCGTAGTGGTCCAATAGTTGAGACAGACAGGAGCGACCTGTTCTAAACCCATGTTGCCCTGGGTTGTGTAACTGATGGGTTTCTAGATGCGTGGTGATCTTGCTTCTTAGGACCCTTTCAAAGATTTTTATGATATGGGATGTTAGTGCTATTGGTCTGTAGTTCTTTGCTGTTGCTTTACTGCCCCCTTTGTGGAGTGGGGCTATGTCTGTTGTTTTTAGTAACTGTGGGACGACCCCCGTGTATGTGATAATCTATCAACTTTGATCAATGGATAGTGCTAAACTCACAGGGTTTATATAGCACCTGTGGAGTGGAAGGTATTCAGGTTCAAGGAAAATATGTCCAGCTGCTTGGATCAAGAGCCCCTCACATGCATCAAGGCACAATTCCTTGATGTGACTGTGACTAGAAAAATCAAATATAATGATGATTTATGCCCAAAATTAAAGACTAATCAAGCCTTCAGCAATACTATGATTACTATAATGGGGAGCGCTAAACCAGCAGGGATTAAACTCATGGAAGAGCACTAAACCTGTGGGGATGGGAGATGGAAGGCATTCAGGCTCAATTCAGGGAACTGGAGAACAGATCCAATTCACTAGATCAAGAACCCCTGACTAGCATCAAGGACTTACTATAATCAAAACCAAGCGCTAAACCCACAAGGGAGAGTATGGTACCTCCCCTGAGGGGCCATCATCAATGAACATGACAGGTACACAGTGTTGAGTGACTCACCAGAGTAACCTTGTACCCACAGTTCAAACACATCCTGGTCAATTATAGTGTAATTACCCACAAATATATCAACTTCTGGAAGCATTCTGAGCTCTCAAATTCTGCCGTCAAGCTGAGGACCAGAGATGGCAGCCATGAGCCCAGTGACCTCGTACATGATGCTTCCTCTTATTGTACATCAACTGGTTCTTCATCTTGTAAGATAAGATAAGATTTCGTTCGGATTTTTAACCCCGGAGGATTAGCCACCCAGGATAACCCAAGAAAGTCAGTGCATCATCGAGGACTGTCTAACTTATTTCCATTGGGGTCCTTAATCTTGTCCCCCAGGATGCCACCCACACCAGTCGACTAACACCCAGGTACCTATTTGCTGCTAGGTGAACAGGACAACAGGTGGAAGGAAACGTGTCGAAATGTTTCCACCCGCCGGGAATCGAACCCGGGCCCTCCGTGTGTGAAGCGGGAGCTTTAGCCACCAGGCCACCGGGCCATTAACTGGTTCTTCATGTACATCAACTGGTTCCTCATCTTGTACATCAACTGGTTCTTCATCATGTACATCAACTGGTTCTTCATCTTGTACATCAACTGGTTCTTCATCTTGTACATTAACTGGTTCTTCATCTTGTACATCAACTGGTTCTTCATCTTGTACATTAACTGGTTCTTCATCTTGTACATCAACTGGTTCTTCATCTTGTACATCAACTGGTTCTTCATCTTGTATATCAACTGATTCTTCATGTACATCAACTGGTTCGTCCTCTTGTACATTAACTGGTTCTTCATGTACATCAACTGGTTCTTCATCATGTACATCAACTGGTTCTTCATCTTGTACATTAATTGGTTCTTCATGTACATCAACTGGTTCTTCGTCTTGTACATCAACTGGTTCTTCATCTTGTACATTAACTGGTTCTTCATGTGCATCAACTGGTTCTTCATCTTGTACATTAGCTGGTTCTTCATGTACATCAACTGGTTCTTCATCTTGTACATTAGCTGGTTCTTCATGTACATCAACTGGTTCTTCATCATGTACATCAACTGGTTCTTCATCTTGTACATTAACTGGTTCTTCATCTACATTAACTGGTTCTTCATCTACATTAACTGCTTCTTCATCTTGCGCATTAACTGGTTCTTCATCTACATTAACTGGTTCTTCATCTTGTACATTAACTGGTTCTTCATCTACATTAACTGGTTCTTCATCTTGTGCATTAACTGGTTCTTCATCTACATTAACTGGTTCTTCATCTTGTACATTAACTGGTTCTTCATCTACATTAACTGGTTCTTCATCTTGTGCATCAACTGGTTCATCTTGTGCATCAATTGGTTCTTCATCTTGTACATCAACTGGTTCTTCATTTTATACATCAACTGGTTCTTCATCTTCTTGTGCATCAACTGATTCATCATGTGCATCAATTGATTCGTCATCTTGTGCATCAACTGGTTCATCTTGTGCATCAACTGGTTCTTCATCTTGTTGTACATCAACTGGTTCTTCATCTTCTACATTAACTGGTTATTTTTCTTGTACATCAACTGGTTCTTCATCTTCTACATTAACTGGTTCTTCATCTTGTACATCAACTGGTTCTTCATCATGTTCATCAATTGATTCTTCATCTTGCACATTAACTGGTTCTTCATCTTGTACATTAACTGGTTCTTCATCTTGCACATTAACTGGTTCTTCATCTTGTACATTAACTGGTTCTTCATCTTGTACATTAACTGGTTCTTCATCTTGTACATTAACTGGTTCTTCATCTTGTACATTAACTGGTTCTTCATCTTGTACATCAACTGGTTCTTCATCTTGTATATCAACTGATTCTTTATCTTATGCATTAACTGGTTCTTTATCTTTTACATCAACTGGTTCTTCATCTTGTACTTCAAATGGTTCTTCATCTTGTACATTATCTGGTTCTTCGTCTTGTACATCAACTGGTTCTTCATCTTGTATATCAACTGGTTCTTAATCTTGTACATCAAGTGGTTCTTCATCTTATACAGCAACTGGTTCTTGTACATTAACTGCAAGTAACTGTTATTTGTACAGTGGTATCACATGGATGTCAGTATGACTTATTAATATAAGATATTTGTTGTCAGTCAATCAGTAAGCTCTTAACCTTCTCTAGTTTATCAGTGGCGACTTACTACCAACTGAACTTTGATTTATCAAGTTAAAATACAGTGGAACCTTGAATGCATCGACTATCGAATGCTTCGAGTTTCGACCGTTTTTTCGAACCCGTTTTGTCCCTATTATCAAATGTGTCCCGTGTTTCGTACCACGTACCAGACCTGTCTGCCTGGGTGCCTCCCTAAGCAGGCATAGTGAGTCTGTGTGACTTTGTTTCTCCTCGAGTGAACATAGGCATTTAAAGTGCCCTAGAGCGATAAAATGCATATCCAGTACACTCATTACTTACCTTAAAATATCTGTTGTCTTAATGATCTTAATATAGGGTGTAAGGTGAATAGTAAGGTAAGTAGGTGTGGTAAGTATGTAACCCCTATTTACACCCTGACATATAAGTTACTGTGTCACCCAACAAGAACTTGATTAAAGTATTTCAGTTGTGAGTTGATTAATTTAGTCTTAGATTCAGATAATTATTTGCAAAAAGGAAATTAAGAAGTTACATTTGGCATTAGTCCAAGACGGATTGAAGGTGAGTATAAAGGTTCCTTTGCAAATTGTAAGTTAGCTGTAATGATATATAATTAAGTTATGAGTTAACTGTAATGATGTGTAATTAAGCTGCGAATTATCTGTGATGATGTGTAATTAAGTTGTGAGTTAGTTGTAATGATGTGTAATTAAACTGTGAATTAGCTGTGATGCTGTGTAATTAAGTTGTGAGTTAGCTGTAATAATGTGTAATTAAGTTGTGAGTTAGCTGTAATGATGTATAATTAAGTTGTGAATTAGCTGTAATGATGTGTAATTAAGTTGTGAATTAGCTGTACCAGAATGTAATTAAATTGTGAGTTAGCTGAAAGGGAGTGTAATCAAGTTGTGAGGAAGCTTTAATGGAGTGTAATCAAGTTGTAAGGTAGCTTTAATGGAGTATAATCAAGCGGGTGACCAGAAAACAATAATCACATGAGAGGGAATTATATTTCACTTTCACATCACATTTAGTATTGCATTATCGTATATAAGTGGTCGTTGTTGTACCTCTGACAACCACAAGCATCAGCTGAACAGGAAAACAAATGCCAGTGTGCCAAATGTTTAGTGATAATAAATTTTAATGATTCCCAATACGAAACATTATAAGAGTAAGATGTATTTTTATGTATCGGAATACATTATATTTATAAAGAAAAAGTATAGTATTTTCCAGGAGGAAGGCAATTTAATGTAGATGTGACATTGTGGAGAGTGTGAGCCAATCAGAGAGCTCGGTTGTTGACCAATCACATTCAAGCTGCCACGCGGGACAAACATGGAGGGCACCAAACTAGGCAACAAGAACTGCATCACTTTAAAAGGCTCTGCACAACATGTGTCGGAATTTTTCTGTGAGTAACCCACCTAGAAAGTTTCTCCATGTAACTCCCCGGCTGCTGGTGTGGTTGATGGAGCCTGGCAAGACCCTCGAGGGGGAGAGAATTATGTTCACGTGAAGTTACCAGTCTGGACAGTGTAGCAAGATTTTATGTTTTTATTAAGCACGTAACTTATTAAATAATTTTGTTGTGGTCTTCAGGGCACAAAAGTATATTGTGGAGATTTAATTATGCTGTGTAGGGATGATCCTTGATGTCAGGGAGTCTTGAAATTTACTGGATCTCTGTTAAGTAATTTAAGTTTATTTAGGTACAGGTATGTAAATAGCTTGTGAATTATCATATATAGTAACGTATGTGTAAAATAACTATGATAAACCCAAAAAAAAGTAATTAAACCTCGTTGCCTTTCGTTCCTCCCAGGCGCTGTATGATCCCCTACGGGTTTATCACTTCCCTTAAGTATAATAATGCCGTTGGTGTAATTAATGTAACTACGAACATGTAATATGTTGACTCGTGGCTCAGTTGGTAATTAATTTTATTTAGGCACAGGTACACATAAGTACAACATTCACGGCAGCACGTAGTCTGGTGGGTAAAGTTCTCGCTTCACACGGTGAGGGTCCGGGTTCGATTCCCGACGAGAGTAGAAACATTGGGCGTGTTTCCTTACACTGGTTGTCTGTGTTCACCCATCAGTAAAATGGGTACCTGGGTGTTAGTGGACTGGTGTGGGTCGCATCCTGGGTGTTAGTGGACTGGTGTGGGTCACATCCTGGGTGTTAGTGGACTGGTGTGGGTCGCATCCTGGGTGTTAGTGGACTGGTGTGGGTCACATCCTGGGTGTTAGTGGACTGGTGTGGGTCACATCCTGGGTGTTAGTGGACTGGTGTGGGTCACATCCTGGGTGTTAGTGGACTGGTGTGGGTCACATCCTGGGTGTTAGTGGACTGGTGTGGGTCGCATCCTGGGTGTTAGTGGACTGGTGTGGGTCACATCCTGGGTGTTAGTGGACTGGTGTGGGTCACATCCTGGGTGTTTTAGTGGACTGGTGTGGGTCGCATCCTGGGTGTTAGTGGACTGGTGTGGGTCACATCCTGGGTGTTAGTGGACTGGTGTGGGTTGCATCCTGGGTGTTAGTGGACTGGTGTGGGTCGCATCCTGGGTGTTAGTGGACTGGTGTGGGTCGCATCCTGGGTGTTAGTGGACTGGTGTGGGTCACATCCTGGGTGTTAGTGGACTGGTGTGGGTTGCATCCTGGGTGTTAGTGGACTGGTGTGGGTCACATCCTGGGTGTTAGTGGACTGGTGTGGGTCGCATCCTGGGTGTTAGTGGTGGTGTAGTAGTGGGTGTTTCACTGAGACCCACATAAAGGATCACTTGGACAACGAAATATGGATCCCAGGTTACAACCTATACAGATGTGACAGAGTGAACAGGCAAAAGGGGGGGGTTGGCCTGTACATTGCAGAGTCACTTGTTTGCACAGAACTGCTTAATGCCTCAAATGATGTAGTGGAAGTTTTAGCAGTAAAGGTCGAGAACCAAAACCTAGTCATTGTGGTAGTCTACAAGCCTCCGGATGCAACATCCCAGCAATTCCAGGAACAGCTGTTAAAAATTGACCACTGTCTGGAAAATCTTCCAGCTCCTGCACCCAACATCTTGCTCCTGGGGGATTTCAACTTAAGGCACCTAAAAAGGGAGGAATATAGCAAATAATATTGTTGCAGTAAAAACCCACCAGGGGGCAGCTCTGATGAAAACTCACACTCGCACGAGCTTTTAAATCTCTGCACAAAATTCAATTTAAACCAGCAAATAATAGAGCCTACTAGACTGGAGAATACACTAGACCTCATCTTCACTAACAATGATGATCTGATAAGAAATGTCACCATATCAAAACAAATTTTACTCAGATCACAACATAATTGAGGTTCAGACATGTATGCGTGGAGCCCCAGACCGACAAAATGAGACTAGTCACGAGGGAGCATTCACCAAATTCAACTTCAATAACAAAAACATAAAGTGGGACCAAGTAAACCAAGTCCTAACCGATATAAGCTGGGAAGATACACTAAGCAAACACAGACCCCAACTTATGCCTAGAACAGATTAACTGGGTGGCACTCGATGTATGCAAAAGGCTTATTCCTCTAAGAAAAAGGAGGAGTAGATGTAAAATAGAAAGAGACAGGCGCTCCCTTTACAGGCGACGGAAAAGAATAACAGAGCGGCTAAAAGAGGTCAATATATCTGAAATGCGTTAGGAGACACTGGTCAGAGAAATAGCAAGCATCGAACTTAAACTAAAAGAATCCTTTAGGAGTCAGGAATCGCGGGAAGAACTAAAAGCCATAAATGAAATCGAAAGAAACCCAAAGTATTTCTTCTCCTATGCCAAATCAAAATCGAGAACAACGTCCAGTATTGGGCCCCTACTTAAACAAGATGGGTCCTACACAGATGACAGCAAGGAAATGAGTGAGCTACTCAAGTCCCAATATGACTCAGTTTTTAGCAAGCCGCTAACCAGACTGAGAGGCGAATATCAAAATGAATTTTTTATGAGAGAGCCACAAAATTTGATTAACACAAGCCTATCCGATGTTATCCTGATGCCAAATGACTTCGAACAGGCAATAAATGACATGCCCATGCACTCTGCCCCAGGGCCAGACTCATGGAACTCTGTGTTCATCAAGAACTGCAAGAAGCCCCTATCACGAGCCTTTTCCATCCTATGGAGAGGGAGCATGGACACGGGGGTCGTCCCTCAGTTACTAAAAACAACAGACATAGCCCCACTCCACAAAGGGGGCAGTAAAGCAATAGCAAAGAACTACAGACCAATAGCACTAACATCCCATCTCATAAAAATCTTTGAAAGGGTCCTAAGAAGCAAGATCACCACCCATCTAGAAACCCATCAGTTACACAACCCAGGGCAACATGGGTTTAGAACAGGTCGCTCCTGTCTGTCTCAACTATTGGATCACTACGACAAGGTCCTAAATGCACTAGAAGACAAAAAGAATGCAGATGTAATATATACAGACTTTGCAAAAGCCTTCGACAAGTGTGACCATGGCGTAATAGCGCACAAAATGTGTGCTAAAGGAATAACAGGAAAAGTCGGTCGATGGATCTATAATTCCTCACTAACAGAACACAGAGAGTAGTCGTCAACAGAGTAAAGTCCGAGGCAGCTACGGTGAAAAGCTCTGTTCCACAAGGCACAGTACTAGCTCCCATCTTGTTCCTCATCCTCATATCCGACATAGACAAGGATGTCAGCCACAGCACCGTGTCTTCCTTTGCAGATGACACCCGAATCTGCATGACAGTGTCTTCCATTGCAGACACTGCAAGGCTCCAGGCGGACATCAACCAAATCTTTCAGTGGGCTGCGGAAAACAATATGAAGTTCAACGATGAGAAATTTCAATTACTCAGATATGGTAAACATGAGGAAATTAAATCTTCATCAGAGTACAAAACAAATTCTGGCCACAAAATAGAGCGAAACACCAACGTCAAAGACCTGGGAGTGATTATGTCGGAGGATCTCACCTTCAAGGACCATAACATTGTATCAATCGCATCTGCTAGAAAAATGACAGGATGGATAATGAGAACCTTCAAAACTAGGGAGGCCAAGCCCATGATGACACTCTTCAGGTCACTTGTTCTATCTAGGCTGGAATATTGCTGCACTCTAACAGCACCTTTCAAGGCAGGTGAAATTGCCGACCTAGAAAATGTACAGAGAACTTTCACGGCGCGCATAACGGAGATAAAACACCTCAATTACTGGGAGCGCTTGAGGTTACTAAACCTGTATTCCCTGGAACGCAGGAGGGAGAGATACATGATTATATACACCTGGAAAATCCTAGAGGGACTAGTACCGAACTTGCACACGAAAATCACTCACTACGAAAGCAAAAGACTTGGCAGACGATGCACCATCCTCCCAATGAAAAGCAGGGGTGTCACTAGCACGTTAAGAGACCATACAATAAGTGTCAGGGGCCCGAGACTGTTCAACTGCCTCCCAGCACACATAAGGGGGATTACCAACAGACCCCTGGCAGTCTTCAAGCTGGCACTGGACAAGCACCTAAAGTCAGTTCCTGATCAGCCGGGCTGTGGCTCGTACGTTGGTTTGCGTGCAGCCGGCAGCAACAGCCTGGTTGATCAGGCTCTGATCCACCAGGAGGCCTGGTCACAGACCGGGCCGCGGGGGCGTTGACCCCCGGAACTCTCTCCAGGTAAACTGGTGTGGGTCACATCCTGGGTGTTAGTGGACTGGTGTGGGTGGCATCCTGGGTGTTAGTGGACTGGTGTGGGTCGCATCCTTGGTGTTAGTGGACTGGTGTGGGTAGCATCCTGGGACAAAATTTACCTAATTTGCAGGAAATACTGAGCATAACAAGTGACTTTCTAAATAGTAGTATGTCACTGATGTCAACTATGGTCTGTATACCTTGTACATGTACTGGTAGAAATGAACATATTACATGTTATTATTATTATTATTATTATTATACATAGTGTAAATTACCCACCAGGATAAAAATTAAAAAATCAGTTATTTATTTCCACTAAAGTCCTTAACTGAAGTCTGAAGGACCTGGGCATATGTCACTGACTTTTTTTGTGTTATCCTGGTGGGTAATTTACTATATATGATAACTGCTTATGTGTACCTGTACCGAAATAAACTCTTTTCCCTTCATATCTATTAAATTTTCTCGTCCATTTGGTATAATCTCTGAATTTTATGCTCATACACTTAAGGAATGTTTTACCTGTATGTAGCAACTGATAGAAAGATTGATTGTAGCTTAACATCTTTTTTAATGCACTCGCCATCTCCCACCGAGGCCGGGTGTAAGTTTATTTAGGTACGGGTACACAGGTGTACACGGGTGTCCCGTGGCCTCTTAGGCAGCACTCGCTTCACACACTGAGTGTCTGTGGTTTGATTCCCGGCGCGGGTGAAAGCATTGGGCGTTTTTTTTTTTTTACACCTGCTATCCCTGTTCACCTAGCAAGCAAGTAGGTATCTGGCTGTTAGTTTACCATTGTGGGTTGCATCCTGGGGGACAAGATTTAAGGACCCCAATAGAAAAAAGACAAGCAGTCCTTGATGACTCACTGACTTTCTTGGGTTGTCCTGGGTGGCTAACCCTTCAGGGTTAAAAATCTGAACAAAATCATCTCTTAAATACAATTATCATAAATAGTGTAAATTACCTAGATAGCCCAAAAAAAAGTCATGCAAACTGACTTATTTTTACTGGTGATATAAAAAGATAAACAAAGGGTACTACCCCCTTGCTACCTAATTTTATAATAAAAAATTACAACTTTTACATAGCTAGTGGCAAAAAGAATATGTTTCTTATAGAGTTTTACCCTGAAATGTTTATATATGTATTTTTTCTTGTATCTTTTCCAAGACTTTGGTATCAATAGCATCCTGTACCAGCGAGGTATATATCCTCAGGAATCATTCACTTGCAAGCAAAAGTATGGTTTGACCCTCTTAACCATCACAGATGATGGTGTCAAAGATTTCCTGGATAAAACCCTGACACAAATCAAAGGTGAGCAAGCTGATCTATAATTTTATGATTTTATCTTATAATTTATATGATTTTATCTTATAATTTATGATTTTATCTTATAATTTATATGATTTTATCTTATAATTTATGATTTTATCTTATAATTTATATGATTTTCTTATAATTTATATGATTTTATCTTACAATTTATGATTTTATCTTATAATTTATATGATTTTATCTTATAATTTATATGATTTTATCTTATAATTTATATATGCTATATATATAATTTAGATAAATTTTTAAGGTTGTGTATAAATTTATATACTTTTGTAGCTGAGAATTTCATAGTTTAAATGCTTTTCATGAATATAACCTTAATGTAACTTGAAATTGTCATATACATTTTTATTATTATTATTATTATTAATGGCTTACCTGTATAGTATAGGTACTTATATGGTGCCATAAATGCTATGTAGCATCTGTAGGTGCTAATTTCTGGCTTGCTCTCTCCTTTCATAAGAGGTGCTTTGATGCTTGTGAAGGTCTTTTGATCTGGGGAATTGGAGCTAGCCTTCCATTCCTTGGAATAAACTTGAACACCTCAGATTCTCCAGTTATTGTATAATTTATGAGCTTTGTGCTGCCTCATAAATATAATAATTGTAAAATTGATCCATAAGACAGGTACTGTACTGTTCTGGGATTTATGCTATGAGAGTTGAGAAAAAATGAGGCATTAAGTTTCCAGTATTACTTAATATGGGAATTACCTGGAGTTTACCTGGAGAGAGTTCAGGGGATCAACGCCCCTGTGGCCCGGTCTGAGACCAGGCCTTGTGGTGGATCAGAGCCTGATCAACCAGGCTGTTACTGCTGGCTGCATGCAATCCAATGTACGAGCCACAGCCTGGCTGGTCAGGTACCGACTTTATGTGCTTGTCCAGTGCCTGCTTGAAGACAGCCAGGGGTCTATATTGGTAATCCCTCTTATGTATGCTGGTAGGCAGTTGAACAGTATTTGGCCCCTGACACTTATTGTGTTGTTTCTTAACGTGCCAGTGACACCCCTGCTTTTCATTGGGGGGATGTTGCATCGTCTACCAAGTCTTTTGCTTTCGTAGTGAGTAATTTTCGTGTGCAAGTTCGGTACTAGTCCCTCCAGGATTTTCCAGGTGTATATAATCATGCATCTCTCCCTCCTGCGTTCCAGGGAATACAGGTTGAGGAACTTCAAGCGCTCCCAGTAATTGAGGTGCTTTATCTCCGTTATGCGCGCCGTGAAGGTTCTTTGTACATTTGCTAGGTCATCAATTTCACCTGCCTTGAAAGGTGCTGTTAGTGTGCAGCAATATTCCAGCCTAGATAGAACAAGTGACCTGAAGAGTGTCATCATGGGCTTGGCATCCCTAGTTTTGAAGGTTCTCATTATCCATCCTGTCATTTTTCTAGCAGATGCGATTGATACAATGTTATGGTCCTTGATGGTGAGATCCTCCGACATGATCACTCCCAGGTCTTTGACGTTAGTTTTTCGCTCTATTTTGTGGCTGGAATTTGTTTTATACTCTGATGAAGTTTTAATATTATCAGAATCCAGATTAAAAGCTTAAGATTTACTAAAGATTGAGAAAATAAAATATGATTTATTTGGATTTTTAACCCAGAGGGTTAGCCACAGAGGATAACTCAAGAAAGTCAGTGTGTCATTGGGGACTCTCTCTTGTTTCCATGTGAATGTAGACAACATGAGAAAAGCTGAACATCAAAATGGTATACAATACCGACAGGTTGGTAGGTAAGACACATAGGCAACAGTTAGGCAACTTTATTCCGAAACGTTTCGCCTACACAGTAGGCTTCTTCAGTCGAATACAGAAAGTAGGAAGGAACAGTAGAGATGTGAAGACGATGTAATCAGTCCATCACCCTTGAAGTCGTAGAATTTTGAGGTTGTCAGTCCCTCAGCCTGGAGAAGTTCAGTTCCATAGTTCCTGACTATGGAACTGAACTTCTCCAGGCTGAGGGACTGACAACCTCAAAATTCTACAACTTCAAGGGTGATGGACTGATTACATCGTCTTCACATCTCTACTGTTCCTGCCTACTTTCTGTATTCGACTGAAGAAGCCTACTGTGTAGGCGAAACGTTTCGGAATAAAGTTGCCTAACTGTTGCCTATGTGTCTTACCTACCACGAGAAAAGCTGATGTGTGCAGACAAAACTGTGTGAAGTATCCTCGTCTCACTACTGTACTTTTATGACAGACTGGCTGGAGGCTGGGGAGGTGGAGAGGCTGGTACTGGTGCTGACCAATGTTGACACAAAGGAGGTTATAGAGAGGTGGGACTTCACTGTTCAACATGAACCTGGCTTTGCTCCACTGTCTATCAAAGAGTAAGTAATTACTGTAGAATGGGGTTGACAGGTTATCAGTAAGATTTTCTAAAAGTAATATTGGGTATTTTTATTTTGATATATATGTTACAGGTGCTGTATGTTAAAAAAGATTATTATCAATAGCATCCTATGGTAAAAAAAAAACATCTATTTTTATGGATTTTGGATTTAATGGAAAAGATGGACAAAGTCTCTTGTTTCCAGAGTTGTCCGTTAATATTGTGTTCTGCTGGGTAAATTTATTTTGGATTTAATGAACAAAGTGTATTGTTTCCAGCACTGTCCATTACTGTTATGATCATGGAAAAACATTCCCATCATTCAGATTTAACGAATGTTCAGAATTACCAGACACCCTCTCCCCCTCTTGTGAATTTTAAAAGTTCGTTTTTGAAAAGTTGTGGGCATACTAGATCACATATTACAAGGCAAGTTTATCAATAGCTTTTTTAACTTTACAGGGGCAAAGTTGGAGAGAAAGACCTGAAAGTGATCCAGAATGAGATGCGAGATGTGATCCGTCAGATAACTGCTTGTGTCACCTTCTTGCCTCTGCTTGATTGTGTGTGTAGGTATTCTCTTTGCTTTATGTATTTGGATTATAAACAGTATAAATAATATTTTATTGCTTAATTTTTGTGTTCTGAAGTTCATATGTATTTTAAGATGTATGTGCTCACTAAGTTCATTTTTATACATGATTTATAAATAAAATATTAGTCACTATTTAATTTAGCCACTAGGAAAATATGGATTTTTTGAAACTTCTCCAACAATAAGTGAGTTGTTTAATGGAGAACCTTATATTTTGTGCCTGTATATTGCAAAACCCACCTATTATTAAACACTATAAACTATAAATTAAGTCTTTCTGGGAGGGGATACCTATAATGGTTCACTTTTTTTTTTTTTTTTTCTTCTGTTTCATAACCAAGTGATAATTTCAGGATGCCTCTTTTGAGAGCAACCCTTAATATTCATCACTTGTTTTGCTTGCTAAAATGTAGGTCAATTTTGTTATTGGGCAGTATAGGTCTTTATGTGACAAGCTCAAAACCTTCCTCTGCTCATACACATCCAGTACTTGGCCAGCAGGAAGTCTTAGTGCAAGCAGAGATGCTGCCTGCAACTCCTGCCACTTGTATTTTTCAACATTTAGCATCTAATATTTTACTTATTTATAGAGCTACATCATTGAATTTGGGATGTGAAAAATATCTGAATTCATTATAATTTTTTTTTTTTTTTAAGGGGCTGCCTAGCATTGGCCAATAGGCTTACTGTGATGCTTCTCCATTCTTATGATTTATGAGTGAAAAAGGTTAGATTTTAGATGGGCCTGCCTAGCATGGGTCAGTAGGCCTACTGCCTGCACTCTGAAGGAGAGGTGTTAATGTTGCAGTTTTTATAACTGTAGTGTGAGCTCGGCTCTGGCAAGACAGTGATGGAGTGAATGATGACTTCTTTTTTTTTTTTTCGGGCCACCCTGCCTTGGTAGGAAACAGCCGATATGTAATCAAAAAATTTATAAATATATAGTTGTTGATTAGTCTTATTCAAATCAGTGTGAGTTGTATACATGCATAAAACACACACACACACACACACAAGGTATGAATGAATTTGGTAAACTTACTATGAAAATATAGTTCATCCTTCAGAAAACTGTAAATATTTAAGTCTCTAGCTGTTAAGTCTCAACCAAACAAATGTGAGAGCTCTATTAATGCATAACATGAATATCATGTATGATGGCATTTGGTAAATAAAATGAGAAAAATCCTATATAATTCAATCTTAAGTAACTACTGTATTCTCACATATTGGAAGAGTGAATCTGTGTTCAGAAGATGTTAACTGGTTCCAAAGTGCCAGTGTTGTAAAAACAGAACCTTGTAAAACGGGGACATACTGCATTCCATCTCATTAGAAATGTGTTCTGAGGAGTGTTTGATTATTAAACTGAAAGAGAGCAGTGCTGGAAAGATTGAAATAAGGTAAAGTTGTGATAAAGCTCATTATAATAAGGTTTGTAAAGGAATGTTTAAATATCCTCCAATTTACTTTATTTTCTAATTTCAGGTGCATTCGACTTATTGGTTTATACCTATCAAAGTGCTGATGTGCCAGAAAAGTGGGCAGAGTCTGCTCCCTGCTTCATTGCTAACTCGCAAGAAGTTCGTTTGAAGTCATTTTCTACCTCTGTCCACAAAGTCGAAGCATGTGTTAGCTACAAAACTGATGCATGAAAATTGTAGGGATCTTATGAGAGATGAACAAGTCATTGGCTACCTTCTTCCATCACACTGTCCAGTTTTATGAAATAAGTTAATGCCATTTATTATGCAGATAATTCACTGTAGTGCAGCAGCTTATATTTAGGTAATATAGTGCACCTAATGGTGATTTTTTTAAAAAATTAAGTATGTGGGTAACTTTCCAAATTTGTTCCCATTATGTAGGTTTTTACTTCAGTAATATACAAGATTTATCTTTTATGTAAACTTCCAAATACACATTGTGATGGCTAAACTGCATTTCTATAGTAGTATTGCTTTTGCCTTCCAGCTTCCTTGATCATACAGAAAGATCATCTCGGTGTCCCATCTAGCTTTTGGTATGTGAAGTGAAGAGTTTAAATACGCAGATGATTCAGCATAGCGCAGCCTATATAGGCAACATTAGGCACTGCCTGGTGATATTTTTGAAAGAACTAGGAATGTGTGGTATATTGTTTAATACAGTGTCAGTTTCTTACCAAGATAATGATGCCAAAGAAATAAACATTCACCATTGCTCATTCCCCAGAAGTGCATGGACATCCCAGTTTACATGACCTTTTCGAGTTGCAACACTGTCACCCATCCTTCAATGTGCAGGCACTGTACTTCCCACCTCTGGGATGTGTGGGGTTAGCAAGTTTTCCTGAGTCTGTTAAAGTTCACCTAAATTTTGTCTCGAGTTTCAAACAGTACCTCGAGTTTCGGCCGCCATACCAGACCTGACCGCCTGCTCGTGCCCAAAATAAACCATCCCACGCATGTGTTGTGAGTCAGTCTGGCTTTGTTCCTCCTCGAGTGAAGATTACTCTGCGCGTTCATCCAAACATTTCACAATAATCCATTGTTTTTTGTGCTTGTTGATTGAGTACGACTGCTATATAATTAACCATGGGCCCAAAGAAACTTCCTAGTGCCAGCCCTTCGGTAAAGAAAGTGAGAAACACTATAGAATTGAAGAAAGAAATTGTAGAAAAATATGAAAGTGGTGTGCGTGTGCTCGAGCTTGCCAGGATGTATGGCAAAAACAAATCAACCATCAGTTCCATCTTGGCGAAGAAAAAAGAAATCAAGGAAGCTGATGTTGCGAAAGGGGTAACTATGCTTACGAAAAATAGATCACAAACAGTCGAAGATGTTGAGAAGTTGTTGTTGGTGTGGATCAACAATAAACAGTTAGCGGGAGATAGTGTTTCGGAGACGATCATTTGTGAAAAGGCGAGGCAGTTGCACACAAATCTCGTGATGAAAATGCCTGGAACAAGTGCTGCTGTTAGTGAATTTAAGGCCAGCAGAGGCTGGTTCGACAGATTCAAGAAGCGTAGTGGCATACACAATGTTGTAAGGCATAGCAAGGCTGCAAGTTCAGACAAACATGCAGCTGAAAAATTCGTTCATAAATTCAAGGACTATGTAGAGGCTGAAGGATTCATCCCCCAACAAGTGTTCAGTTGTGATGAAACAGGCCTCTTTGGGAAGAAAAGGCCAAAGAGGACCTACATCACGCAGGAGGAAGAGAGAGGGGGAAATGTGCCTTCTTCAGTGATTAAGGACATGTGTGCAAAGTGGAATGAGCTGCAAAATTTTGTGGAGAAATATCATCCTAACAAAGCTGTTGCAAGCTATGTCTGCAACATGTTCAATGACAATGCCTTGTCCCATTTTAGGCAAATCTTAAAGAGACGCCAGAAACAGATCTCTCTGGACAGTTTTTTTGTGCGACAGGGGTCCAGCGACTCTCAAGCTGGTCCTAGTGCCTGTAAAAGGCAAAGAAGGGCTTTGATACCTGAAGTCTTTAGGGTGGGGGATTACCCTTCCAAACAATAATAAGTCCTTCCTCTCTCTCTTCTCTGTCTTCCATACACCAAGAAGAGTCTTCAATAAAGGTATGTAAATGTGATTTTAAATGTTTATTAATTGTTTTATGTTTGTAAAACTATAGTTATTCTTTAAAAAATGTATTTTTTTTAATACTTTTGGGTGTCTGGAATGGATTAATTGGATTTACATTATTTCTTATGGGTAATATTGCTTTGACTTTCGAACAATTTGAGTTTCGGCCGAGCTTCTGGAACGGATTATGGCCGAAACTCGAGGTTCCACTGTACTTGGAGTTTTTGTAACTAAAAATATGACCTTCCATCTGTATCAATTGTCCATGAGTACAATTTATAGCTTTGCTTCCATCATACATGAAGAGTATTATATCCTGTAGATTGCTGATATTCAGTGAGTAAACATATGTAAGGGATCAACATCTGAACTTTATCCAGTTTCTTATTAGACTTGTGTATTTTGCTTTAGAAACTACAGTACTTCATTTTGCTATGAAGTTGGCTATATTGAGTCAAAGCAAATTTACGTCAAAAAAGGATTTATTCCTTTGAAGTGGTTTAGATGCGAGATGTCTGCATATCTTATGGCTTTGTTCCATTTTTTTTTTTAAAATTACTGGGACAAGCTCTGTTGGAATGTGAGCAAGGTAACTTATGAAAGGTTCAAGCAAACCAGTTAGCTAAACTGGAGTTCTGGAGGTGGGAAGGGCAGTGACTGCACTCTAAAACGAGGGGTGGGGATGTTGAGGCCAGAGGGTAATCTGAATCATGATGTCAACACACTTCTGGCAAGACAGCAAGTTAATGAATGGTGGCGAGTGTTTTCTTGTTTGGCTCGCCCTGCCTTGACAGATGCCTAAAGTAAAAAATAATATTGTGCTGTGGAAAATAGTACAGTACTCTCACATTGAAACTTGTTGGTATGTATGTGCATTGCAGCATGGGAAGTGTACAGCAAATGGCACCACTTAATTGAAACTTTTGGGCACTAAAGGTAGTTTGAAATTGAGATGAGAAAAGTGAGAGGGATACCATCAGTGGTGTCCCACAAGGATTACTAATTAACCAACTAGTGTTTCTAATATAAATTATTTTTCAGAAAGAAAAATATTAATATGTTTGTTGACTACCAAAACCCTTCAAAAAGTAAGCTTTACAAAGACTGGAAACAATAGCAAAAGTTGGATGATGGAATATAACATAGAATAATGCCACGTATAATATTAGAAATTGGAGAAACTGAAAACACGACACTTAGGTCATTGCTCCCATGACTATTTCCTGTGGGGTTGTGTTGAGTAAGACTTCCCTGTATTCTTGCATTTGGCCAGTGGAGATATGTTTTATCATATTGATTGTCTTGGAGGCAAGATAGGAAGCATAGATTACTACTTGCAGAGATATAAAGTATTCTATATTAGGATTTTATCTTTTGCATGCATTCCTGCACACCATTTAACTGACCATTTTACATTCTGCAAATCCTTGATTTAGCTGTAGAGAAAGCAGTTTATCCAGAATACTTCTTTTAGTGCTCTGGTAGCTTTAAGTTAGTGTTCAGCTTTTTGGTAAAATTGGTATCATAAGTATGGGATGTGAGAATCAATTTTTTTTTTTTTTTTTTTTCAACAAGTCGGCCGTCTCCCACCGAGGCAGGGTGACCCAAAAAAGAAAGAAAATCCCCAAAAAGAAAATACTTTCATCATCATTCAACACTTTCACCACACTCGCACATTATCACTGTTTTTGCAGAGGTGCTCAGAATACAACAGTCTAGAAGCATACACATATAAAGATACACAACATATCCCTCCAAACTGCCAATATCCCAAACCCCTCCTTTAAAGTGCAGGCATTGTACTTCCCATTTCCAGGACTCAAGTCCGACTATATGAAAATAACCGGTTTCCCTGAATCCCTTCACTAAATATTACCCTGCTCACACTCCAACAGATCGTCAGGTCCCAAGTACCATTCGTCTCCATTCACTCCTATCTAACACGCTCACACACGCTTGCTGGAAGTCCAAGCCCCTTACCCACAAAACCTCCTTTACCCCCTCTCTCCAACCCTTTCGAGGACGACCCCTACCCCGCCTTCCTTCCCCTATAGATTTATATGCTTTCCATGTCATTCTACTTTGATCCATTCTCTCTAAATGACCAAACCACCTCAACAACCCCTCTTCTGCCCTCTGACTAATACTTTTATTAACTCCACACCTTCTCCTAGTTTCCACACTCTGAATTTTCTGCATAATATTTACACCACACATTGCCCTTAAACAGGACATCTCCACTGCCTCCAACCGTCTCCTCGCTGCTGCATTTACCACCCAAGCTTCACACCCATATAAGAGTGTTGGTACTACTATACTTTCATACATTCCCTTCTTTGCCTCCATAGATAACGTTTTTTGACTCCACATATACCTCAACGCACCACTCACCTTTTTTCCCTCATCAATTCTATGATTAACCTCATCCTTCATAAATCCATCCGCCGACACGTCAACTCCCAAGTATCTGAAAACATTCACTTCTTCCATACTCCTCCTCCCCAATTTGATATCCAATTTTTCTTTATCTAAATCATTTGACACCCTCATCACCTTACTCTTTTCTATGTTCACTTTCAACTTTCTACCTTTACACACATTCCCAAACTCATCCACTAACCTTTGCAGTTTTTCTTTAGAATCTCCCATAAGCACAGTATCATCAGCAAAAAGTAACTGTGTCAATTCCCATTTTGAATTTGATTCCCCATAATTTAATCCCACCCCTCTCCCAAACACCCTAGCATTTACTTCCTTTATAACCCCATCTATAAATATATTAAACAACCATGGTGACATTACACATCCCTGTCTAAGACCTACTTTTACTGGGAAGTAGTCTCCCTCTCTTCTACACACCCTAACCTGAGCCTCACTATCCTCATAAAAACTCTTTACAGCATTTAATAACTTACCACCTATTCCATATACTTGCAACATCTGCCACATTGCTCCTCTATCCACTCTATCATATGCCTTTTCTAAATCCATAAATGCAATAAAAACTTCCCTATCTTTATCTAAATACTGTTCACATATATGCTTCAATGTAAACACCTGATCTACACATCCCCTACCCACTCTAAAACCTCCTTGCTCATCCGCAATCCTACATTCTGTCTTACCTCTAATTCTTTCAATTATAACCCTACCGTACACTTTTCCTGGTATACTCAGTAAGCTTATTCCTCTATAATTTTTACAGTCTCTTTTGTCCCCTTTCCCTTTATATAAAGGGACTATACATGCTCTCTGCCAATCCCTAGGTACCTTCCCCTCTTTCATACATTTATTAAACAAAAGTACCAACCACTCCAACACTATATCCCCCCCTGCTTTTAACATTTCTGTCATGATCCCATCAGTTCCAGCTGCTTTACCCCCTTTCATTTTACGTAATGCCTCACGTACCTCCCCCACACTTACATTCTGCTCTTCTTCACTCCTAAAAGATGGTATACCTCCCTGACCAGTGCATGAAATTACTGCCTCTCTTTCTTCCTTAACATTTAAAAGTTCCTCAAAATATTCTCGCCATCTACCCAATACCTCCATCTCCCCATCTACTAACTCCCCTACTCTGTTTTTAACTGACAAATCCATATTTTCCCTAGGCTTTCTTAACTTGTTTAACTCACTCCAAAATTTTTTCTTATTTTCATTAAAATTTCTTGACAGTGCCTCTCCCACTCTATCATCTGCTCTCCTTTTGCACTCTCTCACCACTCTCTTTACCTTTCTTTTACTCTCCATATACTCTGCTCTTCTTATAACACTTCTGCTTTGTAAAAACCTCTCATAAGCTACCTTTTTCTCTTTTATCACACCCTTTACTTCATCATTCCACCAATCACTCCTCTTTCCTCCTGCCCCCACCCTCCTATAACCACAAACTTCTGCCCCACATTCTAATACTGCATTTTTAAAACTATTCCAACCCTCTTCAACCCCCCCACTACTCATCTTTGCACTAGCCCACCTTTCTGCCAATAGTCGCTTATATCTCACCCGAACTTCCTCCTCCCTTAGTTTATACACTTTCACCTCCCTCTTACTTGTTGTTGCCACCTTCCTCTTTTCCTATCTACCTCTTACTCTAACTGTAGCTACAACTAAATAATGATCCGATATATCAGTTGCCCCTCTATAAACATGTACATCCTGGAGCCTACCCATCAACCTTTTATCCACCAATACATAATCTAATAAACTACTTTCATTACGTGCTACATCATACCTTGTATATTTATTTATCCTCTTTTTCATAAAATATGTATTACTTATTACCAAATTTCTTAATCATTTGCAATATATATAACAGGACTTGGGTTAACTCACTCACAACTACAAACCTACATAATATTACTTGCAGGATTTTTTGTTTGAGCATTCCCTCCCTTGGATTGAATCTGATTGCCTCTCATTTCCTTTGTGCTTTATGATCCCTGTTTGTTTACCATTTCCCAAGATGATTATTATAATGATGATTTTGTAGGTCTGCTGCAATAATAATAATATCTTTATTTCTACAAGTACATGTATAAGGTATACAGGCTTAGCTGACATCAATGACATACATACTGCTACTGTATATATTATTATTATTATTATTATTTTTTTTTTTTTTTTTTTTTTTCTCAACAAGTCGGCCGTCTCCCACCGAGGCAGGGTGACCCAAAAAAGAAAGAAAATCCCCAAAAATAAAATACTTTCATCATCATTCAACACTTTCACCACACTCGCACATTATCACTGTTTTTGCAGAGGTGCTCAGAATACAATATTATTATTATTATAATCAAAAAGAAGCGCTAAGCCACAAGGGCTATACAGCGCTGACTACTGTATATGGAAAGCCACTTGTCATGCAGAGCATTTCGGGCAAATTAGGTCAGTTTTGTCCCCGGATGCAAAACATACCAGTCGACTAACGCCCAGGTACCCATTTTATACTGATGGGTGAACATGGACAGCAGGTGTCTCATGGAAACATGTCCTAATGTTTTCCAGCCGTACTGGGGATTCAGTCTCCGGACCTCAGTGTGTGAGCTGAGTGCGCTAGCGATCGAGCTACAGAACACCTATTATAGTTCATATTAGATGAATATGGAGCTGTTGAGAATGCAAGCATTTCGATAGATGTGATGCTTATTATTTTCCAAGTAAAATTTTCTTGTCTATTTAAATAGAGGCAGGGTAATCTGTGCTCCCACAGCTCTTGTTTATTCAGTTTAATGAATGTAATGTTCCAGTTCTGACAATCTTTCACACCAGTAATTTTGTTAAAACCTAGCTTATTGTAGGGATTTTATTTGTATTTTACCAGTATGTGCAACAAAGAAGTCATTCAACGCCTGTTCATTTTGATTTTGTAGGATAATTGTTTTTTCTCAACATACAAGCTGTGTCCTGCTAAGGTAGGGTGGCTCACCCCCAACCTGCAAAAATGGATATACATTCACCATCATTTATTCAATCATTGTCTTCCCAGAAGTGTGCTGACATCACAGTTCAAGTGACCCTCTGTACAACATCCTCACCTTCAGTATTAAGTCACTGTACTTCCCATCTCCAGGACTCGGGTTTGGCTAACTAGTTTCCCTGAATCCCTTCGTATAAATGTTAAGTGTGTTGAGGCATCTGTAAAAAGTAGTTCACGGAGACAAAAATTGGAATGCATCGAGTATACGAGTATCATCACTTGTACGGATGTAAGGCATGGACTTTAGACATTACAGCAAGGAAACAGCTGGAGGCAGTGGAGATGTGGTTGAGAGCAACGTGTGGTGCGAGTATTATGCATTATTATTATAATCAAGGGGGAAGCGCTAAACCCGGAGGATTATACAGCGCCTGGGGGGGGGGATGTGGAAGGCATTCAGGCTTAATTTGGGGAACTGGAGCACAGATCCCATTCCCTAAATCAAGAGCCCCTCACCAACATCAAGGAACCTTCCTTGAGGGGCGAGTATTATGCAGAGATTAGAAGACTGTATGAGATTGCCAAAAGTATTATTCAGTTGTTTCATCGATTGTAAGTATGAGTTAAGATTTCTGCTAGGCTAAGGTATAATATACACAGATGTGCTGAGTGCAGTAATTAATGTTTTCATAACTAGCATATGCTGTTTCATCTTCAGACTTATTGATACTGTAGTAATCTTGAAATTTATTTTTTGTAGTTTGTATTCAACATTTATTATCTGCATAATATAGATATTTTATACTTTTAAAATTATTCCTGAATTGGTTTTTATTTATCCAACAAGAAATATTTAAAAGTACTAAAAATCAGTAGTGTGTGTAAATAGAAATTACACTTTTATAATAAAACATTTAAATAGTTGGGACAGTGGTCTCCACCTCTTGGTTCTTGTCTATTTAGTGTTCATTTGTCTGAACATTTCTCTCTTTCTCCTTAGGACATTCTGTCATGATGACACTACCAGTTGCATCAAAATTGAAAGGATGTTGCACATGGGTTATCCATCTCAAAGCCACTAAACTCAGGCTCAACATCACTTTCCTCAAAAAAAGGAGTGTTAACTACGACATGGCATTAGTGAATCCTTGGGGTTTGCCATGCTGTTTGCTCTATCTGGCACTCAATTGAACTGGTGCTTCCACAAGGTACTAAGTGGTCCCAGATTTTTGTAATACTGAGCACACTGAGTGTTAAGACCCATTCTATACTGCCTAGGCCTATCAGTCCTCTGGCGCCAAATTTGGAGGCAGAAAATATAGTGCATTGATCTACGTCATGAGCCCTAGCAGTAATGTGTAGATCTACAGTTTGACAGTTAAAGGGTTAAAATACAAAAAATGCTTGTGTTACTGCCTGGCATTACACATTCTCAACCTGGCTGACATCGAGTTGCACCTTTCATGCTGCTTTTACCATTTAGTTGTTTTTATTTATGTAGCCCTGCTCTGCTGCTTAACAGTGCTGTATGACCCTGGTGGGTTTAGTGCTTGGTTTTGATTATAATAATAATCTGACTTAAACTAAAACTGATTTAACTATAATTTTACCCTTTTGCACATAAGCTCAGTTTTTACACTACCAAATAGTATCAGCATATCTTTGGCCATGCAGTGCTGAAAAACCCAGAAGGTTAGCACTTTGAATACAAGAAATTAGTTAATAATACAAACACATTGGATTCTTATATTAATCAAGAAAATAACATCTGCTCTACAGTTGAGCATTTTCTTACTCTACATTTTGCAATATCACTTGGAAGAACACACTTTATTGATGAAGCAGTGAGTTACCTGACTAGCTGGTTCATCTCTTGTGTATAATTCAAAATCATTAGTTTCATGGGATGAGGAAGAGGCCCACTTGGAAACTTCAAAAGAAAGGGAGAGGTAAAGTTGCTCATGTATGCATCCTATCTTACAGCAGTAACTTCCACATACTAACATCTTGCTAAACACTTCCACCATGCTCTCTCAAAATATGAAAAAACTTTACTTAAGTACACTGATGGTCCAAGGGAGGTTACCCCTTTTTCTGTCTCGTTTGCAGATCTGTCATTGATGCTAGTAGCTGACTTAGATCTACATTTTGAGCTCGGCTCCCTCAGATAAGCTGTGAGTGGTAAATTTTGACCGGATATGAGAGAATGGGTCTGTGCAGTGAGTGTGCACAGTATAAAAAAAACCTGCCCTATGCAGTGCACGATGGAGAAAAGCAAAACTGATAGTGTGTTTGGTTTAATATACCAACTTTGAGGAGTTTTTTTATTTTTATGGCTTTATTTGCTGCTGCTTGGTATCTTTTGTTCTTTATAATATAATTGATATCTTTTGATAGAATGGAAGATATACTACTGATTTAGATAACTGTAGGTGGCTTCAGGACTATAAGTAGCTTGAAATTGCTCAAATAGAAATATTCGATTTTTGCCAATTTTCCTTAGGATGAGCAAGGGTCTTACCTCTTAAACCCCCAGGTCTGTTTGATGAGTTTTTACCAGGTTTGATTCAATTACTGGGATGCCTTAAACAGTGGCCAATCATTCCTGGCTATACATATTTTATTATCTGAGAAGTAGGGTGAATTTTCAAATTTTTGTGATGAATTCAAGTGTAATAATATAGGAGAGGCCTGGGGACATGATTAATGAACAGAGAAAGTGTTGTTTTAGTGCCTGGAATGTCTTCAGTATTTATTTTGTACTTTTTTCAAGTGAATTTTTTCATTTTTTGTAAAATTGATTAAATTACCAAGCTCTGTGCATCTTACAGGGTAGTTCTGTTAGATGAATGGGCGGTGTCTTGTGCTCAGTTGATAGAATGGAAGGAATATTAGTAAAATAGCTAAGAATTTGGTTGAACCGAACAGTGAAACTGGCTTAACTCTTTGAGGGTCAGGCTCTGGCTTTGAAGCCAGAGTCGATTCTGTAGTTCTACACCATGAGCTCAGCTCACTCAGTTAAGCTGTGAGTGGTTAATTTGGGCCTAGATATGAGAGAATGGGTCTATGCAGTAAGTGTACACCATATAAAAAAATTCCTGCAGCAAGCAATACATGATGGTAAAAAACTGTGACCATTTTTTGGTTTAAAACAGCAACTTTGAGGTGTATTTTTTATGGTTTTTATTGTTGTATTCTTGGTCTTATAGAATGGAAGATATTTACAGAAATAGAGATGGTTTTCATTTGTTTCATGACTGAAAGTAGCTTCAAATTTTGCTCAAAGTAGCAATTTGTTTGATTTTTGCCAATATTCCAGAGTGCACAAATTATATCACTCATTCAGTACATGTTCAACTGGTGGGTCTAATATGCATCCACAAATATGCCGACATAATTTATATAATTTTTACAATAATGCAGTAGTCTGCATAACAGTAAATCTTTTATTTTTTGCATGAAAAACTGAAAATGGAAAGCAAGCGTAATATAGGAGAGGCCTGAGAACACGATTAATGAACAGAGGAAATGTTTTAATGCCAGGAATGTCTAAATTGTTTATTCTGGACTTATTTTGAAATTGGCAGTTTTTTAATTTTGTGTGAAATTGGCAAAATTACCAATTTCTGATCACTTTATTGGGTAGTTGAAATGGGTTAATGGGCAATTTCATGTACTCAGTCAATAGAATAGAAGGAATACAAACAAATTAGCTATTATTATTATTATAATAAAAAAGAAGCACTAAGCCACAAGGACTATACAGCACAAATTAGCTATGAGTCTGGTTGACTGGAACATTAGAATTGGCCAAAAATAGGGCTCAAATTTAATAAAATCGCCAAGACTGCTAACTTTGCAAGAGTGTAATTCCTTAGGTTTTCCATCAACTTTCACACTTTTGGTTTCATTACCTTTGGAAAAAGATTGTCATAAAAAATGTTTTTTTTTTTTAAATTCTCCAACATTGAGAGTAAGTTTCAGATCAGGGGTTCTAACACTCAGAGGGTTAAAATAGGACTTGGTGGCCAAAATCGCTGATGCTTAAATTGTACCCAAACCGTTTACTTTATACCTTGTTCAACCTTTGGACGAAGACCTACTTCGACTAGTGGATGGTACCACTATGACCCCGCCTCCGCCTGCTTCACCTCACCTCACTACAGTATATAAGCCACGTCTACGGCCCTATGCTGTACATTCTACAAGATTGATGGACTGAACACATCGACTCCAGGCTGAGGGACTGATTACCTCATACTCCTCCTCTCCTTACGCCTTCCTCTTTGTATTGGACTGATGAAGCCACTGTGTGGCGAAACGTTTCCTGAATAAAGATTCCCATATGCTGCATAAGTGTCTCAATCTTCTACTTTATACCTCTTTAATTCCCTAAGTTTTTCATGAGATTTCATACTTTTGAACTTTTGATGTTATTACCCAAACTAAAAGATTCTCTGTGGTTTAGCGCTTTTTTATTATTATAATAAAAAAAGATTCTCTACCATTTCAGATTTTTTTTAAATGCCAATGCTCTGAGCACTTTAATTTCAGGGCTTCCAAGTGAAAGGGTTAATACTACTGAAGTGCTGTATGGCCCTTTGAGGTTTAGTACTTAATTTAATCATTATCATCTTAATACTAGTGAGGATGTCATCTTTGCTGCTCCAGTACACTTATTCTAACTGTCCTCCTTGCTTAAAGTCCAACCTTTCATGCACACACACTGACTTTTTTTTTTTTAGCAGAAACTAACTTATTGCACCAACTGTGATTTTAATTTTAATTTTTTTTGCACTCCTCACTAACCCCTGCCCTTCACTCCCTCACCTTGCACATTCCTCCTTTCATACATCCCTACCTGCAATGCTGTATGATCCCTTTGGGTTTAGCACTTGCTTTGATTATTATTATTAGTATACTAGTGAATGGTTCTTGATTCAAAGAACTGGACTTGTCCTCCCCTTCTTGGATTGACCCTGAATGCCTAGTTCCCCCAGGCACTGTATAACCCCTATGGTTTTAGCAGTCTCCCACAAATGTTATAATGTTGATCCTTCATAAATTATCAAATTAAGAGCTAAATCTGTATGAGTCATACAGTGCTGTGGGCACAGGTGTGATGGGCAGGAGTTAATGTAGGTGCAAAATTGAAGACATGCTGCAATGGCTTAGTTTCTTTTTCAAAACCATCAAGTCTTGAAAGTTGGACTCTGTGAGGTGTAAGTTTGTTAGTCCTCATCCATTAGACATGTGCAACTCTTGGGTATCTTTATTGAGGAAATGTTTCGCCACACAGTGGCTTCATCAGTCCATACACACGAGAAGCTAGAAGAACAGTAGGGTGTCAGATGTCAGAGGTGAATTCTGCATACTCTGATAGAACAGTTAATTAGGTTATGGAACACTGACAGTAATTGCCGAGATGTGGCAAATGCTTCTCCATACAATACATATTTGTAGGGAAGCAGATTGATTCATAATTGTGCAAATGTAGCTTCCCAAACCTAAAATATGGTAATAGGATAGCCAGAAACCCAAGTGTGGTTTGACAGAAAATGACTTGTGTGTTAACTCAGACCATTGTTGCTGTTGGCAGTTTCACGGCTAGCGAGAGAATCATCGTCTTTCAACAAACCGGCCGTATCCCACTGAGGTAGGGTGGCCCAAAAACAAAAACAAAAACTTCTCTTTTTAAATTTAGTAATATATATATAGGAGTTACTAGCCCCTTGCTTGGTGAAGGAATATTTGGAAAAAATAAATGTCCAAGAAATGAATATCTTCCCTGAGGGGAAACTCGTAACTTGTGAATAGCTGACTGAACATGTCTAGATACCTGCCAAAAAAAAAAAAATGCTTGTTAGAAATGTGGCATAATAGATGTGCTTGTAATGCTAGAGAAATCTTAAAGCACAAAAGACTACATTAGGGCCCTGATTATATAGGTTAGGTTCCAGGCTACAGCTGTAAGGTGAAACAGCCTTTTTCCTTTTTCAAATACACACACAAGCTTGATAACATGTTTACACTATCATATATTAAGTGAACAACAGAGCCAGGCCTAAAATAATGCATACGCAGTATGTACATTACTTACCTTACAATATTTTCGTCTTTAGCTTATAGTGAGTGGTGATTATATTTATTATAGGAAGTCTGAATAAATGAAGAATGGGTGAAACTGAAAACCAATGCATTAGCAAAATGCCATAAAGTGAAGCACCATAAAGCAGGGCCCACCTGTACTGTATTCAAAAATATTAAAGTTGTCAAGATAAGAGTACACTGACAGCTATCATTCATATGATCTGCTTACAGTAGTTTGACATAATTAAGGATGAATAACCTAGGGGTTGTCACAATACTGGTGAACGTTTCTTGATCCAAGGAGATGTTTATTTTTCCATTCCTATTGCCAGTTTGACCCCAATAGGTATAGCACTTCCCTATTATTATACTAGTAGTGTTGTATGACCCTCATGGGTTTAGCACTTGGTTATGATCATAATAATTAGGATGACCATGCAGCAATCTTTCAGATTGCTACCAGAGAAAAAACAATTGAATATGCAAGAAAATCTAATGTGATCTCTACTTAGCATGACAAGCACATGCCATAGACATTTAATTATAATGTTTTTACTAAGCACATAGTTTTAATTAGATTCAAGTCCATGAAATATCATAGTGATGACGGCAGAAAACGTGGTACGTGCTCCCTTTTCTAAACTAGTGGCAAAGGTACAATAAATAACCTAAACAAGTTTAGTACTTTCAGTAATAATCAATGGGAAATGCAGCCTGGGGAGCAGCAGCAGCAGCACAGCTGCCTCATGAACAAAGGTCCTGGTTAGGGAAAGACATGGAGAAGTCTCCTTACCCACTTTTCACCTTGCAGTAAATTTACAGTTGGCTACAGCCTTTCACAATACCGAAACATCACCCTTTCAAGTATGTATAACATTTTCTTGTGACGATAATACTATAACTGAAAAAAATTCTTCCTAATTAAGGTTACTGTCAGGTTTAGACTTTATTGGACACTAACTGTCCCCAGACTCCTCTACTTTTGTTGTTATTCTTCCTTCATTCCCTTGCAATGTTTCATTAACTGATCTGTTTTTCCACAATCTAGTATTAATTTCCTGACAGGTAATAAGCACACCTTTAGCTGTATGACCCTTTCAGGTTTAGTTATTAAATTTGATAATAATAATAATAATGTAAGAATTCTTTTTTTTTCTCAATCTCTTTATCCCTGTTTACCACCAAGAGTTCTCTCCTACTTGACCCCTCAAGGGAGATTTCTTTATTGCCAGTGAGGGTCACTTGATTCAAGGAATATGACCTTATCTCTCCTTGGATCAATTGTAATTGCCTCTCATTCCCCAAGATGCTGTTTTCCCCTTACAGGTTTAGAGCTCCTTCCAAGAATAAAATAATAATGCTACCGTTATAAAGTGGTCTACCTGGAGAACATTTGGCCTGGTCCCAGACCAGGCCTGGAGAGTACTTGCCCTGGTCTCTGACCAGGCCAAACTTTAAAATGACCACAAATTCTCTCAGCATTTTTCCATGACAGTCAAACCTTTATGGTTGATAACACTTAATTAAACATGTAATAACAAAGTAAAATACTGTATTGATCTCTGAACATTTTCTTTGCTAAAGATTTAATGCACTAAACCCACAAGGGTTTAGCACTTATGTGAATTAAAATAAGTATTAATAGTAAAAATAATATATATGAAGCTCTGATATATACAAAACAATATATTAAGAGAATGGAACTACTGTATATAAATCACAGAAGAATAATGTATAGGTACCAGGAAGGTAGAATGTATTATTAATTACTAAGGAAAAACAAGGAACTGGCTTTACAATGTGACTTTCATTCAATGCTTAATGATATGTAATATGTCTCTATTATATCCACCTCTAAGTTTTTAAACATTATCTTAATTTACACCACAATTTGCATAGAAGTTAATTATATAAAGGGGTACTTTATATTAAATTCTGTTGAATATTTTATTTTTTAACAGAAAATAATTAAAAAATGTTCAATCACACTTGTAATATTTTCATTATATTACTTCTTTTTACTACTAAGTGATTTTTTTTAACACTATGACCATCTACCACAAAGGTAGGATGAGCCAACAAAGAAACACTTTCATTCACTTATTCAGTCACTGTCTTGCCAGAAGCATGCTGACATTACAATTCCAATGCTACTCCAAACTGCAACATCCCCACCCTTCCTTCAGAGTGCAGATACTATACTTCCCATTACCCCTCCTTCAGAGTGCAGATACTATACTTCCCATTACCCCTCCTTCAGAGTGCAGATACTATACTTCCCATTACCCCTCCTTCAGAGTGCAGATACTATACTTCCCATTACCCCTCCTTCAGAGTGCAGATACTATACTTCCCATTACCCCTCCTTCAGAGTGCAGATACTATACTTCCCATTACCCCTCCTTCAGAGTGCAGATACTATACTTCCCATTACCCCTCCTTCAGAGTGCAGATACTATACTTCCCATTACCCCTCCTTCAGAGTGCAGATACTATACTTCCCATTACCCCTCCTTCAGAGTGCAGATACTATACTTCCCATTACCCCTCCTTCAGAGTGCAGATACTATACTTCCCATTACCCCTCCTTCAGAGTGCAGATACTATACTTCCCATTACCCCTCCTTCAGAGTGCAATACTATACTTCCCATTACCCCTCCTTCAGAGTGCAGATACTATACTTCCCATTACCCCTCCTTCAGAGTGCAGATACTATACTTCCCATTACCCCTCCTTCAGAGTGCAGATACTATACTTCCCATTACCCCTCCTTCAGAGTGCAGATACTATACTTCCCATTACCCCTCCTTCAGAGTGCAGGTACTATACTTCCCATTACCCCTCCTTCAGAGTGCAGATACTATACTTCCCAGTACCCCTCCTTCAGAGTGCAGATACTATACTTCCCAGTACCCCTCCTTCAGAGTGCAGATACTATACTTCCCAGTACCCCTCCTTCAGAGTGCAGGTACTATACTTCCCGCCTCCAGGACCTGAGTCCAGCTAACCGGTTTCCATGTTTGCCAGACTTGAGTCCTGGAGGTGGGAAGTACAGTGCCTACACTCTGAAGGAGTGGAGGTATTATGGTTTGGAGGGTCATCTGAACTGTAATATTGATTGAATGAGTGACAATGAAAATGTTGTCTTTGTTGGGTCACTCTACCTTGATAGGAAATAGCTGGTGTGTTAAAAACATAACTAGTATCAATTATATAGTAAAAATTCAACTACAGTGCATTATTTTTTATGTACCTGAAAGTGATTGCCTCTTGCTGAACACCCAACTACACAAGATACTGGTGCCAAATGACCCATACAGGTTCAGCACTTTTTTTTTTTTTGTGATAATAATAATGTCACTGTGTAGACCAGTGTACAGTATAAGGTTAATATTTTCAGATCTTTGTTTAAATCTTGATAGAACTAGTTTTAAGCAGTTATGCTTTGTTAAATAAAATCTTGTTCTTTCAAGAGTCATTCAGTAAGATCCACTTCAATATTGCTGAATGACTTGCATGGGTTTAGCTTTTATTTTACATGAAAATAATAAAAGCCACTCTAAAAGCAATAAATGAACACCAAAGTAACAATGGAATGTAAAAATACACAACACAGAAAATTTCAGTTTGCCAGAGTGGACAGAAATGTAAAAACCCATAATACCTAGAGAATGTCGATTGCAAGTATCTCGTTTTTGGTCAGAGAATGTAGCCAATGTAAAAGATTTGAAATGAAGATGAAATATATATTGAGATGAACAGGTACATCATACATAAATGTGTACCTTTGTATATGACATTATTATGCTATGTAACAAAAGTGGATGAATACTGTAAGATACAAATTAATAAACACTTGCCAATGTTGAGAGAAAACCTGCAAATTGACAATAAAACACACAAGAGAATGACTATCATTCAACATTCAACTGAGATTCTCATCAGTATTATGCTGAGGAGAACATAAGGTGGAGCTCAAAATACTGTATACAGATGGACTTCAAAATACTGTATACAACCAATTTCTTTGCTGCAATTTAGTGTCATATGGATTTTCTCTCAACATATACACATCAGTACAGTATAAACACAATTATGGCAACTGTGCGAGAGGGTGTGAAGATGTATTTTCAGCCCTTATTAGGTGAGTGTGTTGTGTATGGGTAGTCAAAGATGTATTTGGCAAATATAAATAGTCTGAGATAAAGGACTCAAATACAAAGTTGCATTGTGAGAAGCCTTATTCAAATTAAAAAAAAAAAAATACAAATGAGGCAAAATATACTACTTTAAAAAAAATAATAAACACATTTAAACACACTTATACTGCATATAGGAATACCATATATTGAAACATATAATGATGAACTGAACAATCTTACAATATGTCTCAGACTTAAACATCAATTCTACCTCATTTACATAGCAGTCTCTATCATACAAATATTTAACCTAAAGCCATCAGCTATTCTCATGCTATTGTCTTTCTAACAATTACAAAATTTATTTTAAACCATAATATATTATGGTACCATCTGATATCAAATCCATGAAAAGATCTTTTTAAACAAGTTTGTGCTTATTATATAACTAAGAAATTATTTGAATATCAATACTGTACAAATGTTTGCATATTTTATTTTATCATTTATAATCTGCATTTTATCACTGGGTTATTAAGAGTCAAAATAGACACCACTGTCCATTTCACACCTTAAAATGGCTACAGTATTCACTAAGTGTTTAGACACAAACTTAAAGAAAAGCATTTTCATGAACTTGCAATTTTAAAAAAAAATCACTATCATTCTTTATGCTGTACTCGAATGTATATCTTATGTTCACATTTGATCACACCAGTTTATGTAAGTAAAAATTGTAGATAAAGAGTTATCAGGAGCCTTCCCAAGGGCTGAGTCGTCCCTGGGCAAACAATAAAGGCGTGGTGGGCAGGGGTAAGTTTGATGCTCCTTCCCGGCAGCTGCCGCGCTGCTGAACCTCTATACACACCCCTTGGGCCTGATGGAAAATATTATGATTTAGCTTTCATTTTCAAGATGTGTCATGCTTTTCAGACAACATTAAACATTTATTAAACAGGCCAATTGCCCTAAAAGGCCTTGTCAAAAAACTGAATTTAAGAATTAATTTATAAATATTTTTGTAAATTTTACATGAAAATTAACTTAGCAACCTTACCTAACCTTCTTAAAATTAACATAATATAATTTTGCTTAATCCTTTTCAGCTTATCTTATGCCAAACTAATTTTAATAAGTACTGTGTTTTGTCAACAACGAAATCAGTATATTAATTTTGCAATATACAGACACTGTCACAGTTATGACAATTTATTTTTATATTCTTCTTGTTCAGCAAAACAACTGTTGCTTTATAATCCAAGATTGCACACTCTGCTTAAAACCCACAACATATCCATTTTATGAAAGAAAAGCTGAGTTAGCAAATAGTGATAAAAAAAAAAGACAATCAACAAAGAAACGTTTTATTAACATAGGTTTTCACCTACTTGGGACTTTATTTACTTACTTTATTTATTACAGTATATGGAATACATAAAAATAATAATGTATAAAACACATGGGGAGTAGAGGTGCTACTAGGTCAGGTCAGGTACTACCAGATCAAGTCAGGTCCCACCAGGATAAATGCCATTACAAGCGAGGTCAAGTGACACTGGGTGGAGGTGAGGTCAAAGGGTATTTTGTGCTTAATACGGTCGTTCAAGATTATCTGTACAATAGGTTTAGACAAAATGTACATCCCACTGTTTTGTTTTAGTGTTGGCAAGGTGGATGGTGTCAGCCTTTAGACACTTGTGTTAGGTCCTGTTGTTTTCTTTATAAACAAGAAGTCAGCGCTGTATAGCCCTTGTGGCTTAGCGCTTCTTTTTGATTATAATAATAATAATTTGTAAACAAGAACACAGGCACAGCAGGAGTCTACAGTGTACCTTGTAGTGATTGTGATCACTTTTACATAGGAGAGACGGCAAGGGATTTAGATACTGGACTTAAAGAACACTGACATGAATGGATGAGACAATACATGCATGATGTACCACAGCACATATTCATACATCATGGAATGGAAACAAGCACATCATCTTTACAAAGAAAACAATTAAATGCAGGTTTCTTCAGGCTGACACCAGCTACTTTAGCAACACCATAGTACAAAATAGGAATTCACATTTTATTTAAACCCACTGCAAAGATAATCTGGAATCGACATACTGAACACAAGATACCATAACATGATCCTTCAACCTGATCTCTTCCTTGACATCACTTGACCTCATTTATAATGGCACCTGACCTCCTCCCCATATGCTTTCTATACCACTGTTTTTATGTATTCCATATACAATACTTGATAAAGCTTCAGCAGTTGGAACATTGTGTAAATAGTTTCTTTGATGAAAGTGTCATTTTACTACCACATACATTTTAACAAGACAGAAGATAATATATACGTAAAACAAAATATTCTAAAATAAAATAAAAACCACAACAGATTCATTTTTTAATACACGAGCTGTCTCCCACCAAGGTAGGGTGACCCGAAAAAGAAACTTTCACCATCATTCACCCTATCACTGTTTTCCCAGCGGTGCACTGACATAACAATTCAGATGCCCCTCCAAACTGCAAACATCCCCACCCCTCCTTCAGAGTGCAGGGACTGTACTTCCCACTACCAAGACTCAAGCACTGTCAGATAAACTGTACTGAGGAAAATAAAAAAAAATGTAAAGTATGAGTAGAAAACCAAGAAACTTGTGATAGTAAAGAAGGTTCCACATAATCAGGAGTGACTAAACCTGTAACACAGTAATAGAGCATTCAGCTCACAACTGAAAGGACCCAAATTTGATTCCGGGATGGGGATATACATATGGAACAAGTCTCCTTACATCTGATGCAGTATGTACTTGGGTGTTAGTCACTGTTTTTGGATGGTATATTGGGGAAGAGGGTGGTAGCATGCCTTTATGCCAGGCTTTTACATAAGCTGATGTGAGATAACAGGTCTGACAGTGTAAATTGAAATGTATAAAAAAACTGTTTACTGTATTAGCTATTAAACAAACTGTGACTATAGATAGAATACTGTAAATTAATGAGTTAATTGGGGTGAAAATGCAAATACTGGTAGCTAATGATTTCACAACCAATACCAAGCAAGGTGAAAGCCTAATTGTTTAAGTGCATTCATATACAGTATTTATGCATATTGTGATCATAGTGTATTCGTTTCTCAGTTACTATTACTCGTACTACAAATAACTGAATGTATCGAAGATGTAGTTGGGATTCACTGAGATAAAAATTAAAGTTTTGAGAAATTCTCACCTTATTACCACTAATGAACTCCCTCAGTTTGTGGATGAGAATCCTGTTGGATGCACTGAACTTTTCAACACTGAAAAAAACATCTATGTTTAGAAACTTTAAATGAGAAAAGATGCAGATTATAATGCTGGGAAAAATAATTAAATGGCAATTATTTAAAGATCTGGCAACAAGGAAAACTTTAAAATATAGTTATGCAATTTCTTTATATGCTGTATTAGTTTTGTACCAAAACTAACACAGGAGCCTAAAAAGAACAAGACACAATACTATGACGAATAATACACAACAACATGAATCAACCTAATTACGTATTAATATAATCATGGGTAAGGCAGCCGGGATTGATGGGATAAAGATAGAAATGTTAAAAGCAGGTGGGGATATAGTTTTGGAGTGGTTGGTGCAATTATTTAATAAATGTATGGAAGAGGGTAAGGTACCTAGGGATTGGCAGAGAGCATGCATAGTTCCTTTGTACAAAGGCAAAGGGGATAAAAGAGAGTGCAAAAATTATAGGGGGATAAGTCTGTTGAGTGTACCTGGTAAAGTGTATGGTAGAGTTATAATTGAAAGAATTAAGAGTAAGACGGAGAATAGGATAGCAGATGAACAAGGAGGCTTTAGGAAAGGTAGGGGGTGTGTGGACCAGGTGTTTACAGTGAAACATATAAGTGAACAGTATTTAGATAAGGCTAAAGAGGTCTTTGTGGCATTTATGGATTTGGAAAAGGCGTATGACAGGGTGGATAGGGGGGCAATGTGGCAGATGTTGCAAGTGTATGGTGTAGGAGGTAGGTTACTGAAAGCAGTGAAGAGTTTTTACGAGGATAGTGAGGCTCAAGTTAGAGTATGTAGGAAAGAGGGAAATTTTTTCCCAGTAAAAGTAGGCCTTAGACAAGGATGTGTGATGTCACCGTGGTTGTTTAATATATTTATAGATGGGGTTGTAAGAGAAGTAAATGCGAGGGTCTTGGCAAGAGGCGTGGAGTTAAAAGATAAAGAATCACACACAAAGTGGGAGTTGTCACAGCTGCTCTTTGCTGATGACACTGTGCTCTTGGGAGATTCTGAAGAGAAGTTGCAGAGATTGGTGGATGAATTTGGTAGGGTGTGCAAAAGAAGAAAATTAAAGGTGAATACAGGAAAGAGTAAGGTTATGAGGATAACAAAAAGATTAGGTGATGAAAGATTGAATATCAGATTGGAGGGAGAGAGTATGGAGGAGGTGAACGTATTCAGATATTTGGGAGTGGACGTGTCAGCGGATGGGTCTATGAAAGATGAGGTGAATCATAGAATTGATGAGGGAAAAAGAGTGAGTGGTGCACTTAGGAGTCTGTGGAGACAAAGAACTTTGTCCTTGGAGGCAAAGAGGGGAATGTATGAGAGTATAGTTTTACCAACGCTCTTATATGGGTGTGAAGCGTGGGTGATGAATGTTGCAGCGAGGAGAAGGCTGGAGGCAGTGGAGATGTCATGTCTGAGGGCAATGTGTGGTGTGAATATAATGCAGAGAATTCGTAGTTTGGAAGTTAGGAGGAGGTGCGGGATTACCAAAATTGTTGTCCAGAGGGCTGAGGAAGGGTTGTTGAGGTGGTTCGGACATGTAGAGAGAATGGAGCGAAACAGAATGACTTCAAGAGTGTATCAGTCTGTAGTGGAAGGAAGGCGGGGTAGGGGTCGGCCTAGGAAGGGTTGGAGGGAGGGGGTAAAGGAGGTTTTGTGTGCGAGGGGCTTGGACTTCCAGCAGGCATGCGTGAGCGTGTTTGATAGGAGTGAATGGAGACAAATGGTTTTTAATACTTGACGTGCTGTTGGAGTGTGAGCAAAGTAACATTTATGAAGGGATTCAGGGAAACCGGCAGGCCGGACTTGAGTCCTGGAGATGGGAAGTACAGTGCCTGCACTCTGAAGGAGGGGTGTTAATGTTGCAGTTTAAAAACTGTAGTGTAAAGCACCCTTCTGGCAAGACAGTGATGGAGTGAATGATGGTGAAAGTTTTTCTTTTTCGGGCCACCCTGCCTTGATGGGAATCGGCCGGTGTGATAATAAAAAAAAAAATAATCATGGGGGAGCACTAAACCCGTAGGATTATACAGAGCCTGTGGAGAAGGGATGGAAGGTATTCAGGCTCAATGCAGGGAACCAGAGCACAGATCCAATTCCCTAGATCAAGAGCCCCTCACCAGCATCAAGGAACTTCCTTTGAGGGGTCAACCTTACTAAAATTTACATAGTGTAAAAAATTTTAATAGCTTAACCTTTCCAAGAATTTGCATACTGATGTTTCTTGGGGAGAAAGAGGAAAGGGCAGTGACTATTCTAGTGATCTGGAAATAGTAATATGCACAAAAATATGACACATGCCTATGATTCTGGCACTTTTAATTTTATTTCCATGACACGTGGAAATAAATGGCAAATATCTGACTTTTACTATTGATTGTGAATTAAAAAACTGGTCTTGCCGTATCAACTATGTGAGACATAACAAGTTTAAATCATTACTTAACACCACCATTCGCTTTCTACTAGTACCAGTCCATCTGCATGGAATCTGTTATTACATACCTTTCTGGACTGAATATTTTGTGAGAGATAATCTTGTCTGAGACCTGCTGGTTGAGGGAAGCATCAAAGAGAGGAAGACCAAAGTGACACTCCAGCAGGTACCACTGATCCATGGAAGGTTCACCTAGAGGCAGTGTCATGCTCTCACGCCCACACCTGAATAAAAAATAGAAAAATTATAATATACTTGTTACAGTATATCATAAATAAGTTATAATAAAATTACTTCCTAAGCAGAATACCAGGCAACATTAGCTTGATACTGACTATGACAAGAAAAAGTGCATTGATTCTGGTGAAGGGCTATTAATCCAAAGAATTTGAGTTACCTTTCCTTCTGTTGATCAGAGGTGATTACCTCTTATTTCCCAGGTGCTACATGACCCCTATGGGTTTAACACTTCCCTATGGCTAGCTCTAAATGTACAGTGATTATTTAACCCCTTCAGGGTCCAAGGCCCAAATCTGAAGTGGTGCCCCAGTGTCCAAGAATTTTCAAAAAAAATTTTGTTATTTTTTTCTTATGAAATGGTAGAGAATCTTTTTGTGAAGGTAATAAAACAAAAAGTACGAAATTTGATGGAAAATTGACGAAATTATGCTCTCGCGAATTTTGATGTGTCAGCGATATTTACGAATCAGCGATTTTGCCGACTTTGACTCCCATTTTAGGCCAACTACATTACTCCAGTCAACCAAATTCTTAGCTATTTCACTAGTATTACTTCTATTCTATCGATTGAGCACAAGAAATCGCCAAGTCAACTGTTTCAACTACAAATTAAAGTGATCGGAAATTGTCAATTTGGCCAATTTCACACAAAGTTCAAAATATTCCAATTTCAAAATAGGGTCCAGAATAAACAATGTAGGTATTCCTGGAACTAAACTAACATTTCCTCTGTTCATTAGTTATGTTTTGAGGCTTTACAAATAAATTCCGTTTTGATTTTTTATTCACATAATGAATTTTTATTCACACCAAAAAATAGAAGATTTACTGTTATGCAATACTGTAATAATTGTATAAATATCATCACCATATTTGTGAATGCATATTAGACCCACCAGCTGCTGTGTATTAGACGTGTGAGGTCGTTTGTTTACTCTTGAATATCGGCAAAAATTTAACATTTCTGCTACTTTAAGCTCAGTTTCAAGCCATTTCCAGTGCTAAAACCAATCAAAATCATCTCTATTTCTGTAATATGTCTTCCATTCTATCAAATGAGACCAAGAAATCGCAAATACAACTATAAAAAACATACGAAAAAACATTCCAAAGTCGCTGTTTTATCGAAAAATCATGATTTCAGTTTTTTTCTCTCATTATACACAGTGTGCTGCAGGATCTGTTTTATGTGGTGCACACATACCACATAGCTGTATTCTCTCATATCTAGGCCCAAATGTACCACTCAGTTTATCAGAGTGAGCCGAGCTCATGACGTAGATCTACGGTTTGGACCCTGAACGTAAAGCCGTAGATCTACGGGACGGACCCTGAAAGGGTTAATATTCCTATTCACTGTAAAATCAAATTTTTTTTCTAGGGATAAGAAATGGTGCAATGATTAATGGTATATTTCAGTGATGACTTTTTTAACACATCAGCCATTTCCCAACGAAATGAAGACTGACTTCAATACACCATATTATTTACTGTTTTTTTTTTTTAACAAGTCGGCCGTTTCCCACCGAGGCAGGGTGACCCAAAAAGAAAGAAAATCCCCAAAAAGAAAATACTTTCATCATCATTCAACTTTTTCACCTCACTCACACATAATCACTGTTTTTGCAGAGGTGCTCAGAACACAACAGTTTAGAAGCATATATGTATAAAGATACACAACATATCCCTCCAAAATGTCAATATCCCGAACCCCTCCTTTAGAGTGCAGGTATTGTACTTCCCATTTCCACTACTCAAGTCCGGCTATATAAAAATAACAGGTTTCCCTGAATCCCTTCACTAAATATTACCCTGCTCACACTCCAACAGATTGTCAGGTCCCAAACACCATTCGTCTCCATTCACTCCTATCGAACACGCTCATGCACGCCTGCTGGAAGTTCAAGCCCCTCACCCACAAAACCTCCCTTACCCCTTCCTTCCAACCTTTTCGAGGATGACCTCTACCCTGCCTCCCTCCCCCTACAGATTTAAATGCTCTCCATGTCATTCTACTTTGATCCATTCTCTCTAAATGACCAAACCACCTCAACAACCCCTCTTCAGCCCTCTGACTAATACTTTTATTAACTCCACACCTTCTCCTAATTTCTACACTCCGAATTTTCTGCATAATATTTACACCACACATTGCCCTTAGGCAGGACATCTCCACTGCTTCCAACCGTCTCCTCGCTGCTGCATTCACAACCCAAGCTTCACACCCACATAAGTGTTGGTACTACTATACTTTCATACATTCCCTTCTTTGCCTCCATAGATAATGTTTTTTGTCTCTACATATACCTCAATAACCTCTTCTCCTGTATATATTACTAAATGTAAAAGGAGAAACTTTCGTTTTTCCTTTTGGGCTACCCCGCCTCGGTGGGATACGGCCGGTGTGTTGAAAGAAAGAAAGAAATATACCTCAATGCACCACTCATCTTTTTTCCCTCATCAATTCTATGATTAACCTCATCCTTCATAATCCATCCGCCGACACATCAACTCCCAAGTATCTGAAAACATTCACTTCTTCCATACCCCTTCTCCCCAATTTGGTATCTAATTTTTCTTTATCTAAATCATTTGATACCCTCATCACCTTACTCTTTTCTATGTTCACTTTCAACTTTCTACCTTTACACACACTCTCAAACTCGTCCACTAACCTTTGCAGTTTTTCTTTAGAATTTTCCATAAGCACAGTATCATCAGCAAAAAGCAACTGTGTCAATTCCCATTTTGTATTTGATTCCCCATAATTTAATCCCACCCCTCTCCCGAACACCCTAGCATTTACTTCTTTTACAACCCCATCTATAAATATATTAAACAACCATGGGTAGGCTCCAGGATGTACATGTTTATAGAGGGGCAACTGATATATCGGATCATTATTTAGTTGTAGCTACAGTTAGAGTAAGAGGTAGATGGGAAAAGAGGAATGTGGCAACAACAAGTAAGAGGGAGGTGAAAGTGTATAAACTAAGGGAGGAGCAAGTTCGGGTGAGATATAAGCGACTAAAGGTGGGCTAGTGCAAAGATGAGTAGTGGGGGGGTTGAAGAGGGTTGGAATAGTTTTAAAAATGCAGTATTAGAATGTGGGGCAGAAGTTTGTGGTTATAGGAGGGTGGGGGTAGGAGGAAAGAGGAGTGATTGGTGGAATGATGAAGTTAAGGGTGTGATAAAAGAGAAAAAGGTAGCTTATGAGAGGTTTTTACAAAGCAGAAGTGTTATAAGAAGAGCAGAGTATATGGAGAGTAAAAGAAAGGTAAAGAGAGTGGTGAGAGAGTGCAAAAGGAGAGCAGATGATAGAGTGGGAGAGGCACTGTCAAGAAATTTTAATGAAAAGAAGAAAAAATTTTGGAGTGAGTTAAACAAGTTAAGAAAGCCTAGGGAAAGTATGGATTTGTCAGTTAAAAACAGAGTAGGGGAGTTAGTAGATGGGGAGATGGAGGTATTAGGTAGATGGCGAGAATATTTTGAGGAACTTTTAAATGTTAAGGAAGAAAGAGAGGCAGTAATTTCATGCACTGGTCAGGGAGGTATACCATCTTTTAGGAGTGAAGAAGAGCAGAATGTAAGTATGGGGGAGGTACGCGAGCCATTACGTAGAATGAAAGGGGGTAAAGCAGCTGGAACTGATGGGATCATGACAGAAATGTTAAAAGCAGGGGGGGTTATATAGTGTTGGAGTGGTTGGTACTTTTGTTTAATAAATGTATGAAAGAGGGGAAGGTACCTAGGGATTGGCGGAGAGCATGTATAGTCCCTTTATATAAAGGGAAAGGGGACACGAGAGACTGTAAAAATTATAGAGGAATAAGTTTACTGAGTCTAGGTAGTAGGTTGGTAGACAGCAACCGCCCAGGGAGGTACTACCGTCCTGCCAAGTGAGTGTAAAACGAAAGCCTGTAATTGTTTTACATGATGATAGGAATGCTGGTGTCCTTTTTTCTGTCTCATGAACATGCAAGATTTCAGGTATGTCTTGCTACTTCTACTTACACTTAGGTCACACTACACAAACATGTACAAGTGTATATATACATACCCCTCTGGGTTTTCTTCTATTTTCTTTCTAGTTCTTGTTCTTGTTTATTTCCTCTTATCTCCATGGGGAAGTGGAACAGAATTCTTCCTCCGTAAGCCATGCGTGTTGTAAGAGGTGACTAAAATGCCGGGAGCAAGGGGCTAGTAACCCCTTCTCCTGTATATATTACTAAATTTGAAAGGAGAAACTTTCGTTTTTCCTTTTGGGTCACCCCGCCTCGGTGGGATACGGCCGGTGTGTTGAAAGAAAGAAAATAAGTTTACCGAGTATACAAGGAAAAGTGTACGGTAGGGTTATAAATGAAAGAATTAGAGGTAAGACAGAATGTAGGATTGCGGATGAGCAAGGAGGTTTCAGAGTGGGTAGGGGATGTGTAGATCAAGTGTTTACATTGAAGCATATATGTGAACAGTATTTAGATAAAGGTAGGGAAGTTTTTATTGCATTTATGGATTTAGAAAAGGCATATGATAGAGTGGATAGAGGAGCAATGTGGCAGATGTTGCAAGTATATGGAATAGGTGGTAAGTTATTAAATGCTGTAAAGAGTTTTTATGAGGATAGTGAGGCTCAGGTTAGGGTGTGTAGAAGAGAGGGAGACTACTTCCCGGTAAAAGTAGGTCTTAGACAGGAATGTGTAATGTCACCATGGTTGTTTAATATATTTGTAGATGGGGTTGTAAAGGAAGTAAATGCTAGGGTGTTCGGGAGAGGGGTGGGATTAAATTTTGGGGAATCAAATTCAAAATGGGAATTGACACAGTTACTTTTTGCTGATGATACTGTGCTTATGGGAGATTCTGAAGAAAAATTGCAAAGGTTAGTGGATGAGTTTGGGAATGTGTGCAAAGGTAGAAAGTTGAAAGTGAACTTAGAAAAGAGTAAGGTAATGAGGGTATCAAATGATTTAGATAAAGAAAAATTGGATATCAAATTGGGGAGGAGGAGTATGGAAGAAGTGAATGTTTTCAGATACTTGGGAGTTGACGTGTCGGCGGATGGATTTATGAAGGATGAGGTTAATCATAGAATTGATGAGGGAAAAAAGGTGAGTGGTGCGTTGAGGCATATTTGGAGTCAAAAAAATGTTATCTATGGAGGCAAAGAAGGGAATGTATGAAAGTATAGTAGTACCAACACTCTTATATGGGTGTGAAGCTTGGGTGGTAAATGCAGCAGTGAGGAGACGGTTGGAGGCAGTGGAGATGTCCTGTTTAAGGGCAATGTGTGGTGTAAATATTATGCAGAAAATTCGGTGTGTGGAAATTAGGAAAAGGTGTGGAGTTAATAAAAGTATTAGTCAGAGGGCAGAAGAGGGGTTGTTGAGGTGGTTTGGTCATTTAGAGAGAGAATGGATCAAAGTAGAATGACATGGAAAGCATATAAATCTATAGGGGAAGGAAGGAGGGGTAGGGGTCGTCCTTGAAAGGGATGGAGAGAGGGGGTAAAGGAGGCTTTGTGGGCAAGGGGCTTGGACTTCCAGCAGGCGTGCGTGAGCGTGTTAGATAGGAGTGAATGGAGACGAATGGTACTTGGGACCTGACGATCTGTTGGAGTGTGAGCAGGGTAATATTTAGTGAAGGGATTCAGGGAAACCAGTTATTTTCATATAGTCGGACTTGAGTCCTGGAAATGGGAAGTACAATGCCTGCACTTTAAAGGAGGGGTTTGGGATATTGGCAGTTTGGAGGGATATGTTGTGTATCTTTATATGTGTATGCTTCTAAACTGTTGTATTCTAAGCACCTCTGCAAAAACAGTGATAATGTGTGAGTGTGGTGAAAGTGTTGAATGATGATGAAAGTATTTTCTTTTTGGGGATTTTCTTTCTTTTTTGGGTCACCCTGCCTCGGTGGGAGATGGCCGACTTGTTGAAAAAAACAAAAAAAAAAAAAAACATGGTGACATTACACATCCCTGTCTAAGACCTACTTTTACTGGGTAGTAGTCTCCCTCTCTTCTACACACCCTAACCTGAGGCTCATTATCCTCGTAAAAACTTTACAGCATTTAGTAACTTACCACCTATTCCATATACCTGCAACAACTGCCAACATCTGAGAGTTATAATCATAAATTTGTTCTAATAACATTTTTGTCATTTTACTAAAGGAACCTCCTGTATGTTGTGAACAATGAAAGTGTTTCCTTACCTCTGAGCATCTGAATTTTCTGACTTGTCTAGCACAATAGAGGAGACATCCTCAAAGCTGACCACCTGAGGAATGGAAGAATTGCTTGTGTTCACAGCACTTGGTTCAGAGTGGTCAGAGCTGTTGGCAAAGGCGTTACATACAGTACCACTATCTGAGGCTTTACCAACAACATTCTTGTTACACCCTTCAATATTGTTGGTAGAGGAGTTAGCAATGAATGCTTTGTGGGGAGTGGTGGTGGTACCCTGAGGCATACCAGTGGTGATCTCTGCCGCAGTTAGTGAGGTCACACCTGGGGTGTCGATCGAGGGAAAAGCCACAAGTTTGATGAAGCCAAAAGTATGCTGCAAGTCCAGTTGTTTTGCCAAGACCTGTACAGCTGGATGATTTACAATTTCTGCAAGAAAAATGAGTCATATGCAGTACTTCAGCATTGCATATTATGCATATAGTATAAACAGCATAATAATATATCAAATCACAGAATGGGTGGAGCTTGCAGCCATGGCAGAAGAGTTCTAAAGCTCACAGCCCAATGTGCTAGCCGGTGGTAAGCACACTGAGTTCAAGCCACACCCATTCTGTACAATCATGTTATTACAGTTTCAAGTCTTGATTATGCATCAGTTTTCCTCTAACATTTCCATAATCACAGCTGTGTAGTAGAATAACAAGACAAAATTAAAAAAGGTATGAAATCTAACAAATTCTTAACAGTGCTCTGGTTGCAACAGAATGAAAATCCCCTCAGACTGAAAACCAAATTTAATAAAAACAGCATTATTGGAGTCACAAGATATGGTAACACACTAGGCAATGGATATCACAGAGTTTCAGGAATACAGATGAAAAATATACATCAGATGGAAGTCAAATGGGAGGCATGGTGGATCAAATGAAAAATGTTTAGGAAGGAAGAGGCAAGATGGTACACAGGTGCTTTTTGACAAAACAGTATGCGAGTACCTGAAAAACATTAATGAAAATCAAGCATTATACTATTATGTAGAAAGTGATGTGAATATCATCAAAATTAGAAAGAACGAACTTCAAGAACAGTAGAAAAGATCACAGTGGTTACAAGCGGTGAAGAGAGACAAGCTAAGGGGGAAGTACACTCTACAAAGAAAGTTGTGTCAATAAGACATCTAGCAAGATATCAACCACTTACTGCAATTTTCCAAGGGGAATGGAATATGCTGGATGCAGACATCATGATACCAACCATATGCCTGAAATAAAGATTCAAACAAAAATTCATTACAGAAATTTATTTAGTTAACCAAGTTGCTTTCATAAAAGAAGTAGAGGAAAAGTCCAGCTCCCTTCCCATCAAAGTTGAGTCATCTTTATGTGGCTGGTAGGGAAGGAAAGGGGTCTGTGGATTGTGCTTGGTGACTCCTAGTCTTTATGCCTAGATGAAGACTCCAGAATTTTTTATTTAAATAGCAAAACTAAATTTCATTACTTGTCATATTTTCAGCACTGTAAAAGCCCAATAGATTTAGCACTTTTTTTAGGAATAAAAATAAACATAAAAATCAATAAGAATTTTTTTTTTCATATTTTTACTTATAGTCATGACAAACATTCAAAATCTATATCCATTTTAATCTAAAAATGAAGACAATGATTTTCTGTTATTCCTATTTCACAGAAAGATGCACTGCAGTCTTCACTGACAAGAAAAAATGAATATTTTTCATGATCAAATAACCTTTACCTCACCAGCATTGAGCCGAGAACTTCTACAAAGGGTCAGTAACTTTGGCAAACCAAAATGATCTCAAATTCATGGTAGTGTCACTTTTATTTGTACTGGAAATGCAAAGCAACTTTTCAACTAGCCAATAAATTTTAGAAGAAACTAGATGTTTCAATCCAGTGGCCCATTAACAAGTCACAAGTGACAGGGAAAATGGGAAAGAATCAGAAGTCATGGAAAAGACACATATCTACAAAAACAAAGCCAAAGCTAAGATTTATGTTATAAAATGTGGTGGAAGGAGCTACTGTCTCACTCACAACCAGATATGTAATGATCCAGAACAACACTGAAAAGCTGTCTATATTCATTTCCAAGTTTTGGGTTAGTTGTGGCTAGTTCCAGCCACAATTTTCCTTCTTTAATCTTATGAATATTAAAGTCTGAAATATAAAATAACTGAACTACAGACAAGTAAATTTAAGCTACTGAAAAAAAAATATCTGAAAATATTCGTTTCCTAAATACTAAACACATTTAGTAGTAAGATCTATAATGTCATTAAGTAACACAGCAAATCACCACTAACCTGAATAAATACTGGTGAGTGCATAAGAGCTTCATTAACAGTGGTAAAGAGGGCAGCAAGTGGAACAACAGTTGGGTCATGGCCCCATGGTGTTACCAATACTTTTTCATATCCTACCAGACATTCAGGAAGCCGACGTAATCTCTCCCCTAATTAAGAAAAGTCAATATGAATATAGGTATATGTCTTACAGGTACCAAATAAAATAAAACAAGACATTTACTATGAATCATGCATAGATTCAGCAGTAATTATGAAATATTGTACATAAAATATATTTTTATGCATAAAAATAGAATCTGCAGAATTTTCGGTATACTACTGTACATTATATTCCAATTAATTTTCATAAATGTTTTCCTTTCGAGTTGAAGGAAGATTTTATTCACCATTTCCCACACATATATAAAAAAAGGAGAAAGCATTTTTTATTTATTTTGTCTACCCTCAGTTCTTTGTGAAATTTCTTAGATTCTGCTTCTTATCATTTTTAAAGCTCCCTTTTGCCTATTCTTAATTTTCATAAGGCTTTTGTCTCTTACTTGCCATGGACTTTGTTTGATGGGGTACTGTGTGATAATACAGACTGCATGTAATTAACTAGCATCATAATGACTACTGAAAAGAGACTGCAACAGGAACACAAACTAACAACACAAGTACATGGAGAATATGGCTTACCCTGAGGAAGCAGTAATGACGGAGGACCCGATCCCGTGATGTGATAAATGAAGAGCTTAAACCAGATGGAGTTAACCTCTGGAATAGCAGGACCAAAGTGAGGTGGAGTTTCCCCGTCAATGGCTGAGATCTCATAGCTTAGAGGTGCCATGGATACTAGGAATCTACGGAACATTATTTATCATAATGAGCATGGCAATGATTCTGGCAGTATTAACTAATAAAACTGCTGCACAATCCTTCTTTTATTATAAAAGTTTTTTAATGTCCATAAACCATTTTGAACTTTATAATCATAAACTGATATATCCACATGTACCTCCATACATTCATGATGATGTTCAACAAACACTCACTGGTAGTTCTTCTTTAGCAGACGAGCAGTTGTGGCAGGGTCAAGATTACTTAAGCTCTCCCAACGTATTAAATCTAGCGCATATGGGATATCTTGCACAGGAGAACACAGATCACGGTTGTGACGGAGGAATGTGACAGAGGTTCGGAGTGTGAGTGCGTGCTCAAAGTAACGTTGGGCTTCACCCTCAGAATCTGACCTGTCAATGGCGCTAGTTTGCTCTAACCGTATTTTCTTTTATTGCACAAAAGTATATTTATATATGCAGTGCACAGTGTGTTAAGAGAAGTGGTAGTAAGTGCTACAATCATTGTATACACTTATAAAAATTCTTTAAAGGAAAACCATGAGCACAGCTCTGCTCATGTAGCTACAAACAGGTCATTATTATGTACAATCTTGTTCAAAGATACAGAAAGCTATTTTTCTCTATTAACAACTGTTGTAATCGCCTTTACAAAATCATGTACAGTACTACACTATCTCTACATACCTCTGTATCTTATCCAGTTCTGTCAGAAGGGAGTCTAGACCCTCGTCAAGCATTTTCCCCACCTCAAACATGGTAACTGCATGGCTTTTTAGACCCTAAGATAGAGTAAATATCATACCAACATAGTGAAGCAAGATACTATAAATTTAAATACATTTAATGCATTAAAACACTTTGTATATATAACTGTGCCAATAAATGAAAATTTTCCAAGATATGCTAAATACAGAAGACATCCATAAGTCACGTGACCATAGCTCACATTTTCAATATTCTGCAATTTAGTTTTCATTTCCAATAATCATGTGACATTACTATTAATGTGTGCTAGGGCAGAATTAGTGAAGTGCATTACCTTATGAAGTGTCTGTCCACCCCTTGGGCTAGGCCACTGGTGTAGGGGTGTGAGGAAGGCCTAGCATCAACATTTGCTGTAAACAAACTATCTAGATAATTTTTTTTTTTTTTTAACAAGTCGGCCGTCTCCCACTGAGGCAGATACATACCATATGATAACCTCTCTCTGGTTATCCTCTGTATTTTCATTCATATCATCACCTTGCTTCATCTCTGGATATTTTTTTATGGCATCCAATGGAAAAAAAAAAAAGTGATGCTGGAGGTGCCAAGAAAACAACTAGGCATGAAACTCATAAAATTTCTAAGAAAATTGTGGTTGAGTTTGTGGTTAGAGTAGAAGTGGGAGGTGGTGGTTGCTATGGCTGGTAGCTCACTCACACAGCTAGTGTAACACAGATCCTGAGGAAAGATAAAAAGAGCAGAGGGGGAGGAAGGGGTTGCACTGCTCATAAAAAAACGATGGAGTTTCGAGGAAATGGAGGGCATGGACGAGATTGGAGAAAGGGACTACATAGCAGGCACAATTCAATCTGGGGAACATAAGGTAGTCATTGCTGTGATGTATAACCCACCACAGAACTGCAGGAGGCCAAGAGAGGAATATGATGAGAACAACAGAGCGATGGTGGACACACTGGCTGAAGTGGCACATAGAGCTCAAACGTGCAGAGCAAAGTTACTGGTTATGGGTGATTTCAACCACAGGGAGATCAATTGGGAAAACTTGGAGCCTCATGGGGGCCCTGAAACATGGAGAGCCAAGATGATGGATGTGGTACTGGAAAACCTCATGCATCAACACATCAGGGACACTACCAGAGAGCGAGGGGAGGATGAACGAGCAAGACTGGACCTTGTGTTCACCCTGAGTAGCTCAGACATTGATGACATCACATATGAGAGGCCCCTTGGAGCTAGTGACCACGTAGTCTTGAGTTTTGATTACATAGTAGAGTTACAGGTGGAGAGGGTAACAGGAGTCAAAGAGAAAAAGCCAAACTATAAAAGGGGGAACTACACAGGTATGAGGAACTTCCTGCAGGAGGTGCAGTGGGACAGAGAAATGGTAGGAAAGACAGTAAATGAAATGATGAAGTATGTAACAACAAAATGCAAGGAGGCAGAGGAAAGGTTTGTTCCCAAGGGCAACAGAAACAATGGGAAGACCAAAGTGAGTCCTTGGTTTACCCAAACGTGCAGGGAGGCAAAAACTAAGTGCATTAGAGAATGGAAGAGGTATATAAGGCAAAGAACCCAGGAAAACAAAGAGATCAGTCGAAGAGCCAGTAAGAAATATGCACAGATAAGGAGGGAGGCCCAGTGACAGTACGAAAATGACATAGCATCGAAAGTCAAGTCTGACCCGAAACTGTTGTTTAGCCACATTAGGAGAAAGACGACAGTCAAAGACCAGGTGATCAGGCTGAGGAAAGAAGGTGGGGAACTCACAAGAAACAATCAAGAGGTATGCGAGGAGCTCAACAGGAGATTTAAGGAAGTATTCACAGTGGAGACAGGAAGGACTCTGGGAAGACAGGACAGGGGGGGGGGACACCAACAGGGAATAGACCAACAGGTGCTGGACAATATGCACACAACTGAGGAGGAGATGAAGAAGCTGCTAAGTGACCTTGATACCACAAAAGCAATGGGACCAGACAACATCTCCCCGTGGGTCCTCAGGGAGGGAGCAGATATACTGTGTGTGCCACTAACCACAATCTTCAACACATCCCTTGAAACTGGGCAACTACCTGAGGTATGGAAGACCGCAAATGTAGTTCTCATTTTTAGAAAAGGAGACAGAAAAGAGGCACTAAATTACAGACCAGTATCACTGACCTGTATAGTATGCAAAGTCATGGAGAAGATTATCAGGAGGAGAGTGGTGGAGCACCTGGAATGGAACAAGATTATAAACGATAATCAGCACGAATTCATGGAAGGCAAATCCTGTGTCACAAACCTTCTGGAGTTCTATGACAATGTTACAGAAGTGCAACACAAGAGAGAGGGGTGGGTTGATTGCATTTTCTTGGACTGCAAGAAGTCCTTCGACACAGTTCCTCACAAGAGACTAGTGCAGAAACTAGAGGATCAGGCACGTATAACAGGAAAGGCACTGCAATGGATCAGAGAATACCTGACAGGGAGGCAACAATGAGTCATGGTACGGGATGAGGTATCACAGTGGGCACCTGTGACGAGCAGGGTCCCACAGGGGTCGGTCCTAGGACCATTGCTATTTCTGGTATATGTGAATGACACGATGGAAGGGATAGACTCAGAGGTGTCCCTGTTCGCAGATGATGTGAAGTTAATGAGGATAATTAAATCAGATGAGGACCAGGGAGGACTTCAAAGAGACCTGGACAGGCTGGACACGTGGTCCAGCAACTGGCTCTTTGAATTCAACCTTGCCAAGTGCAAAGTCATGAAGATCGGAGAAGGGCAAAGAAGACCGCAGATAGAGTACAGACTAGGTGGCCAAGGACTGCCAACCTCGCTCAAGGAGAAAGATCTTGGGGTGACCATAACACCGAGCATGTCTCCAGAGGCACACATCAACCAGATAACTGCTGCAGCATACGGGCGCCTGGCAAACCTGAGAATAGGGTTCCGATACCTTAGTAAGGAATCGTTCAAGACACTGTACACTGTGTACAGCAGGCTCCAGTTTGGAACCCACACCTGGGCAAACACGTCAAGAAATTAGAGAAAGTGCAAAGGTTTGCAACAAGGCTAGTTCCAGAGCTCAGGGGTATGTCCTATGAAGAAAGGTTGAGGGAAATCGGACTGATGACATTGGAGGACAGGCGGGTCAGGGAAGACATGATAACGACATACAAAATACTGCGTGGAATAGATAAGGTAGACAGAGACAGAAACATGGGGTCACAATTGGAAACTGAAGACTCAGACGAGTCATAGGGATGTTAGGAAGTATTTCTTCAGTCACAGAGACGCCAGGAAGTGGAATAGCCTAACAAGTGATGTAGTGGAGGCAGGAACCATACATAGCTTTAAGACGAGGTATGACAAAGCTCTGGAAGCAGAGAGAGAGGACCTAGTAGCGATCAGTGAAGAGGCGGGGCGAGGAGCTGTGTCTCGACCCTTGCAACCACAATTAGGTGAGTACATAATTATATAATCATTCCACAGTCTTGTGCCTCAAACAGTCATTTATAAATGCTAGATGCAGTAATATGATTCTTGAATATGTTGATGATTGATAATAAGCATGAAAACATTACTAAAAGAGAAAATTTTATGGAGCTTACAGAGTAGTGAGGATGAAGGCTAGAGGTGGAGGCCACAGTTGGCCATTTTGACTGGCAGAGGTCGCATCAACTACACATACATACACACTCTGCAAGCAACGAGGACAAGGAGCAATGAATGGAAGCTAAGATAAAACTTTCTCGTCACTTTTTACCCTATTTCAAACAAGAATGTGTGTAACAGAAATACTATATGACGTTATGAGTATTGGTGGTATTGAGGGGTCATTCGTACTCATGATACCCACTTTCTGTGGAAGGAATATGCTGTCTCCATGTAATAAACTATAATGAATTCAAAAAGAAACCGTTTTCACCAACCAGTTTCCCTAAATCTCTTAAAAATAAACATATCCTGATATTGCACATATGTCTAATTTATCAACTTCTTGTTACTCTACACCAAGACTTTCATGAAATAAATAAACTCAAAGTGAGTCAACCACCAGCTTCCTCTAGGTCTTAGCGATGGAGGTCTGTGGAACACAACCTTATTTTTCCTAATTTTTTCGGTCTATAAGTTGTAGAAACCACTGATAGCACAGTTTTAAGGAATGTATAGACATAATTTGTTAGTTTGACTATAAAGGCTTTGACAAAGCTTTTAAAACAGAAATGTTATTTTAAATGAGTATTCCTAACCCTTATTTATTTTTACAATAATGTCAACACTGACGTAGAAACAAAATTGAAATGTAAAGTGAAAGTTAGATGTAACATAGTGGGGAAAAAATTATACTACACAACAAAGAAACAATGGAAACTTCAGTACTAAGATGAATGTATCCAGATAGATTGATGACTAGTTTGCTTACACCAACCAAGCATTGATGTTAGGTCTTCCCCATACCCCTACACCAGTGGCCTTGCCCAAGGGGTGGATGGACACTTCATAAAGTAATGCACTCTACTAATTCCGCACCAGCACACCTTAATAGTGATGCAGAAATAGAATTAAAATGTATAATGAAAGTTGAATGTAGCTTAGTGAAGAAAAAGAATATAATACACAGAAAACTGGAAACTTCAGTACTAAGTATAACATACTTGAGATAAATTTCCCATCATGAGGAATGCTGTAAGAGTTGAATCATAGAGGAATGCTATTCGCTTGCTCTGACCACTGAAAACAAAGCCTGCTGCTAGGGGATCGTCTGTTGGTGTTCGAGGGGTACAAGAACCTATGTCATCGTGCTCCCCTAGTGAACTCTCTGCCAGTGCAGACTCTAATTCTAGCAAGAGCAAGTCATCTGCTGTGGTTGGTAGCCTGTAACATATTAACATATGAGAATCCATCTTTACAAGCCCATTTGCTGAAATTAAGAAAAATAATATAAAAAATCTTTACTCTGTACATGTAGAAAGTATTGTTCCTATACCAAACAGTCACTAGATATTATATAAAAGTTAGTACTTCATCCAACATTCAGTGGGTGTTGTTCCTATAAGAAAAATTATTGTTCAATGTATTATCCATATTTGTCTTTGTGGTAAATTTGGTGTACTGTTCTATATGATTCAGGAAATGCATTAAGGTGATACATGCATGTACTGTAATTAAAACAGAATACCACCCAACTCCACAACTTTTCCTGTTCACAGAAACTGAACATTACCTTGCTGCCATGACTTCTAGATCATTACACTTTTCCTTACATCCTGGCAAATTGTAGATCAACACAAACACATTACTTTCTCACGTTTCATAGCAGAAGATGGCGGTATTCTGTCTTCACCTCGCTGGCATGCAATGCACATCAATTATCAATTCTTCTTTCTTCCTTTCAATGCACCGGCCATATTCCACTAAAGCAGGGTGGCCCAAAAAGAAAAACAAAAGTTATTCTTTTTAACTTTAGTAATGTATACAGGAGAAGGGGTTACTAACCCCTTGCTCTCGGCATTTTAGTCGCCTCTTACGACATGCATGGCTTACGAAGGAAGAATTCTGTTCCACTTCCCCATGGAGATAAGAGGAAATAAACAAGAACAAGAACCAGTACAAAATGAGGAGAAAGTCCAGAGGGGTGTGTTTATATGCTTGTACATGCATGTGTAGTGTGACCTAAGAGTAGGTACAAGTAGCAAAACGTACCTGAAATCTTGCATGTTTATGAGACAGAAAAAAGGCACCAGCAATCCTACCATCATGTAAAACAATTACTGGCTTTCATTTTACACTCACTTGGCAGGATGGTAGTACCTCCCTGGGTGGTTGCTGTCTACCAACCTACTACAGTCAAAAAAGGAAAGCAGAATTATGTACTTTTTTGTGGTGGGAGCTATGGCAGACTCCCAAGATGGATGCATCTCCAATGTTGAAATCTCAGCATTCTTCTTGTGGGCAAACCCCAAGCGAGAGAAGAGTGACACCGCTACTTTTACCAAAGCCAGGTCAATCTCCAGCACTTTTGCCAGCTGCAGAACAAAAAAATATTTAAGTTCTATAGTTTGCTCATAAAATCATTGAAAATTTTTGAGGTCTGCATACACTAAAATAATACTGCAACTTAAAATTCCCAAACACAATTTTAAAATAACATCACTCTTGCTAAAATTAAATTAAATTTTTATTTCTTTGCATAATATACAATGTGTGATTTACATTTTATAAAATACCGCTAAGCACAAAAAAAGCCACTAATATGCCTGAGAAATTCGGGCAGACTAATGTTTACACACTACTTAAAACTAGACATAACATATTAACATGATGTCAAGACTTCAATGTTTAAATGGTTGTGAGGGTTACAGATATTAAGAATAAGATTATATTGTTTTCCATATGTTAGTGACAATGAGAATATGAATATACAGTTTTCACACACTATTTAGCTGATGTTGAGATAAGTTAGGGAGAGAAGGCGTTTTATAACAGTAATTTTGAAGATGCCGGTTGAGACAGCAGCTCTGGAGATTTCCAGTAGAGATTTTCTGATTTTGGGCCCATTTATGTACATTGAATTTTTACATAGATTAAGCTGGACACAGGGTATATCAGAGATTTTTGTGCCTAGTATCATGTCTATGGGTCCTGTTGCAACTATCAAGAAAGTGCTTCAGGTCATGATTAAGAATGAATGTTTTGTATGTTGAGTAGATTTAGGTTTTTGAAGAGTTGGGGGAACTGTGATCATTTGTACTGCAGCTTTTTGTTGAGTTATGTTAATTAAATGCTCAAAAGCACTAAAGTAGTAAGCAAGAAATAAAGTTACTGGAAATTTAGAAATAACAAGGGAGCTGATTAACATATAAGGAATTAGTGATAAGATGTTATTTTAGTGGGGAGGATGTATTTATTTGTTTTTTATTCTCAAATACAAATATACATTTGTTAACACATTGGCCTTTATTTCCACCATAAAAGGGTGATCCAAAACAGGAAATGGTTACCATTAATCATTCTCTAGTTGCCTTTCCAGTGGTACATGAACATCACATTTCAAATATATGCATAAAGATTTTTTTTACTTCATCAGCCATTTCTCACAAAAGATGGGTGACCCAAGGATGCAATCACCATCATTCAAGTGCACAGATATCACAATTCAAATAACCCTCCTAACTGCAAACATGTCCACCCATTCATCAGAGTACAGGCATCATACTTCCCTCTCAAGCCAGTGAAATTGTAAGTTCTATAAGTTACCTCACAAACTGGTGTGTGCTCATCAATAGAAACAAAAATCTTGTACATGAGGCTCTCCAGGTAGTCCCCCAAGACACGGTTCATGACAAAGCCTTCCAGCGGAGGCACAGATATGCAGTCGCTGTCACTAATAGGTACATCCAGATACACCAACCCTTTCCTGTCAGTTTGGAGGGAAATCAATTAGATATCTATTTGTTATAAATATTATACTTAACATCAACCTTCTTCTATGGGGCCAGAAGAAAAGCAGTTATATATTTTTTATATTTAACATTATCTTTACATATCAAAATAAATTATCACTGGTACATTAAAATATCCACAAAATACACGTCACTAGTGCTTAATGAGAAGCGTATTCTCTATACTTACGTATAAAGACTATGTACACATTCTCTGTCCAAATCACCTGCTTTCTGTGAGCCAACATCAATCAAGGAGTCAATTACAACTTTCTCTCTCTCCTTCACCAGACTCTGAAACAATGCATACGTGCCTACTCTCTGACTCATACTACCAGCATATACTCTTTAAATGTTAAAAATGTCTATTTTGTGACTTTACAAATCTTTCCTTTTTTTTTTTCCTCTTTATGCCTTTTGGTTTTTGATGTATTTTATCTCAATAATGTGCAGCCAAAAGTACATATTAATATCTATGAGAAGCAAGAAATTTGGAGCACTATCTGAACAAATTCCATTACACTTTTTATTAGCCCTTATGGATCCAAATTTACTGCAGCTTGCAAGAGAAAGACTATCAATTCTCAACAATTTGGAGTTTGTTTTAACAGGAATCCAATAAGTGCCCCCCAATCACACATTTCATACATGTATTAAAATTAACAAAAAAAAAAATTAACACTAACCAAATGAAATTCTACCACTGAATTCGATACACATAGCAAGTGGTAATGTAAGTTTGATAATGAGATGCTTATACTATACTGCATCACACTTCATGATTTTACTGTCTTGATACTTATTTTATAATAATTTTCAGTTTGAAATTGTCATGACAGGCATTAGATAATATATATCAGAAGACTTTTGTCAAAATGAAATTTCATCAAAAAATAGGTTAATTAAAAACGTTATGTACACCAACCTTAATGTCCTCTTCTGTCACACATCCAACACAGACCACCCACCACGGTTCTATAGTAATATCTGAGGGCAGTGCAGGCAGCAAGTCACGTACGTTCTTTTTACGAAACAGTTTTCTGCTGGAGCGACACTGGTTCATTAAATCTATATACTGGTTCCGCCCAATTCCCAACAAACGTAAACCTGAAATAAAATATTTTATATTTTAATGTGTAAATAAGGTTTCAATATCTCTTTTGCTATGCTTCTTGCTCTTAAAGCAGTGAAGCACAATGTGCCTTGGTCAGACATTTTGACAGGTGACCATCTCTGCACAATTACACTGCCATTTATCCAACATATAAAAAACAAAAAATTTTTTTTTTTTTTAACAAGTTGGCTGTCTCCCACCGAGGCAGGGTGACCCAAAAAGAAACAAAATCCCCAAAAAGAAAATACTTTCATCATCATTCAACTCTTTCATCTAACTCACACATAATCACTGTTTTTGCAGAGGTGCTCAGAACACAACAGCTTAGAAGCATATACGTATAAAGATACACAGCATATCCCTCCAAACTGTCAATATCCTGAACCCCTCCTTTAGAGTGCAGGCATTGTACTTCCCATTTCCACGACTCAAGTCCGGCTATATAAAAATAACCGGTTTCCCTGAATCCCTTCAATAAATATTACCCTGTTCACACTCGAACAGATTGTCAGATCCCAAATACCATTTGTCTCCATTCACTCCTATCAAACACGATCACGCACTTCTACATTTATGACGTGAGCATCCCTGCTTGCAGTCAGAAAAAAAGGGGATGAAGAAAGTTACGTATATTATGAAGAAATTGTAAGTAGGAGAAGACATTATCGTTACTGTTGCACTTCATAAAGCACTAAACCATTGTGGATCAATCAGCACAAGCAATGGAGGAGCTCCAGCCTTCATCTGCAAAATATAGCTTGGTGTCTGTCTGGTCAGGGTGTTGCAGAACCAGGAAAGGAAGAAGGATAAATACAAGGAAATTAAAATAAAAGAATTGCTAGAGAATATTATCAGTCAACTTGCAGCCTGAAATTATTTAACTAAATAAAAAGTAGTCTGCTGGGAAATGTATCCAATAAAAGAATATTTTTTTTATTTTTAGTAAGCTATATGGGAAAAGGAGTTATTAGCACGTTGCTCCCGGCACTTCAGTTGACTTTTACGACAGGAGTGGCTTACAGAGGAAAGATTCTTATTCCACTAACCCATGGATATGAAAGGAAAAATAATAAGAACAAGAACTTTTATTTTTCAACATACCAGCCATATCCCACCAAGGCAGGGTGACCTAAAAAGAACAACAAAAGTTTTTCTTTTTAGGTCACCCTGCCTTGGTAGGATCAAGGGGTTACTAGTCCCTTGATCCCTATGTACAGTTATTAATATTATCAATATTATTATACTTGTAGTATTATTATAGCCAAACTGTTTATTTTTGTGCTTCTAGATTCTCTTTCAATGATTATCTTTCACTCACTTATAGCTTAAATACTTTAAGAATGTAAAGAAAACTGAAACAGTTCTAGAGGTGTTAAAACTTACAGTCTGCAGCAGTGAAATTTGGGAGAGAATCATAGCTCTTCTCAGCAGACATAATATCAGTGAGGATGGAGATGTAATACTGGAATGGCGTGACACGTAGGCCCTTCACCACCACATCCGAGAGGTGGTATGGATACATCATCAGGTGGGACCGACTGTGGGACAACACTTCTTCATAGTAACTTCTTTCATTCTTGACAATTTGCCGAACTGGAATCAAACATTTTCTTAATGAAATTATTGGCTTCTAATAAAAGGATAATTATATTTTGTCAATCTGGAATTCATTACCAGAAGATACTAAAGTAACCCGGTCAGAAAATCAATTTAAGACTCTTCTCAAAAGCCACTTAATCACCCTAGACTAAATGCTAAATACTCAGTACACCTTACTCACTTATGTATTCCCACATCATAATTTCAACAATTACTTTGAACCTTTTATCCATTGTTGACAGGAATATAACTGAATCATTGTTTTCACAAAAAGCATTTTTTGAATATATGAATAGATCCTTTGTCTTATATAAATTAGATTCACTTACAATTAATAATCTACTGTACAACTATGATATAATTAATATTCTACTGTACAACTATGACACAATTCTTAAGTGTTAAGTAGTCTGTAAGCCAATAATGTTAAGTCGGCCCATAATGCCTAAGCATAAGAGAGGCTCTCTTTGCATTGCAACCCATTATTGTAAATACAAAATCTCAATGTACTATTTGCAAAGACATAAATAAATAAATAAATAAATAAATGTAAACATAATTGACTCTTGCTCTTATAAAAACCAAAAGTGGTACTGTTACTTGAAATTCAAATGCTCTTTTTTTAAAGGAACACTGTACAGTAGCTACTTAGCCTCATATACATGTAAATAGTATGGCACAGCACCAAGAACTAGAAAAGCTACCCTATCAAGCTACAAAAATTAAATTAAGAACTAGGCCAATGCAATGTACTACTGTCACAATCCTGAACCTATGCATATAGGTACATTATAGCAATGTTTGCCGCTCATCATAATGACCAGTAATGATTCAGTCCACTTTTAAGTGTATATACAGTATAGCATATGAATTTTGTTTATAAATCATATGTACCTTTGTTGATTTAGTATATATACAATGAACAAAGTGAGAGGAGTGTATAGCCACCCACTTGCCCACATACATCCTGTATACTGTATGTGCCTTTTATTTTACCACAAATTTTTCCCTACTTTGACTACATCCATTAGTATAACAAAATACTCATTGAAATGGGCATGTAAAATACAGTACAGTACTATAGTAGATGAAATATAAAAGAAAATTTGAATTTCCTTAGTTTTCACTCTGAATAACTGGAGCTATGCACAGGCGATCCTTAAAATATGTAATCGAAGCACAACAATTTGGGGGATGGATTATTCTTGCATAACTCACCCAGGTTTCCTCGGTACCGCTGCTGGGTTTTAATGCTGTATTCTGCCACGTGTTTTTCATATTCCTTCTGAGAGTTCCCCAAGAGCTGAAACAGGGAGAGAGCAGTGATAACCAACATTTTTAATTAGAAAAAAAAAGAGCCTGTCAACTACTGCTGCTCTATGTACAATATCCATTTCTTTGGAAAAAAGCAATTTACATGTCTCTGTACAAGTACACACTGTATATGAACTAAATAAGTGAATGTATTTGTACACACACATACACACACACACACACCTTTCATTTTTAACTACAAAGCCTATTTACTCCTTACATTTTTTTTCTTAATTTGAGCATGCTATGGAAAATAAGTAGGGAGTGAAGGTGTTTAAATTTAAGAATTATATACATGGTTTAGATTAAAAGTGGGATGTGAGAAGTGGATTACAGTGTTTCTGCACTTAGAGCAAGAGGAGTGTAAAGGGGGGAGAGACGTGTTTGAAAGGTAAGTGAACTTTTGCAAAGTTGTGAACCAAGTGACAAAATAATTGCTATGGGTGAGTGACCTAGATGCAAAAGTGGGAGAGACTGTTAGAGACTAAACAGCAAACAAGTTTGGAATCCCAAAGGTAAATAATGAGTGACCTTTAAAAGGATTATACAGTAGGACCCCTGTATCTGGGGGTCCGGTATCAGCAGTTTCAGTTATCTGCGGTTTACTGTGGCCTGAAAATGACCCTTAATTTTGGTTGACAATGGCCTCAAAGTGCAAAAGTAATGATGGTGGAAGCCTAAGAGAAGTCGTGAATTGCTTCCTCTCAGTGAATATGTGATAATTCTCCACTAATTGTGCATAGTTTGTCAATTAAACTTTATAACAGGTATGTATGTAAACAAAAAAGACATATATATACATAGGGTTCACTGCTATCCACGGTTTCAGTATCCGCGGCGGCAGGTCCTCGGAACGCATTCCTCTCAGATACGGGAGTCCAAATGTATTATAAAAAAGGGTTGGTCATAGATAATATAATGCTTATCCTAAAAAGAAATATATACTCTAGGTAAGTTTATGAGATATGATGCAGTGGACAATGACAGCAATTTACTAGTAAACATATTGGTAGATAAATGATTGATGGATAAACATTTGAATGTGTATGTTTTTCAAGGAGTGACTGATATGTCAGATCATTATTCAGTGGTAGATACATTAAGAGTCAAAAGCAGATGGAGAACATGGAGAATGGAGTTGGTGTGTAAAAGAGAAAGGAAATGAATGAACTAAAAAGCAAGACAGAAAAATGGGGTAGAGAGAGTATGTACATACAAGTAATGAAGAGGTGGTCAGAGAAATATGAGGCAAACTGAAGAATGCAGTACTAGAGTGCACAGTAGTAGTCCGTGATTATAAGAGGGCGGATGCAGGTGGGAAAAGGAATGATTAGTGGAATGATACTGAAAAAGATTATAAATCAGCACATATATCAGGACAGGCTAAGGAAGACACAAATGACAACTCTTCACAGCTGATCTCTTCCACACATTTAACACTAAACATAATTAACGTAAACTCGAACTAATTCAACCAAAGTGACACAATACAAAAGGCAACAACTTTAAACAAGGATAATAAACTTATATAGAATAATAAGCTTATACAGAAAAATTAACCTATACAGAATAATAAACCTATATAGAATAATTAACCTGTAAAAAATAATAAATCTATATAGCTGTCTAAATCCTCAAAGCCAATACCACACTACAGCTCAAAATTATTATGGAAAATCTCATCATGCAAAATAGAGGAAGCCTTCCAAACCCACAGCCTCTTTGTCCACCCCGAGGTCACTAGAAATGGTGGCTGACTGGTAGAAACTCATTGAAATTTTCTGCAGGAGGATGATTATGGAGTATTGAATATCTGGCTAGGAATGTTAATTAACTGTCTGTCTGCTTATCTGTATTCTCCCATTTCATCCTCATTTATAGCAAGTGGGTGGATCATCAGTAAACAATGTCAGATAATGCAATGTTGTCCCAAGCTTACAACACAATGTTTATCATAAACAAAATAAACATGAGTTAAGATTATGCAACCCTTCAGTTTGGCATGAGTGTACATCAAAACCACAGTGTGACTGGCACTGATTTGGCAAACATAAGACCTATTTAGTCTTTTATTTATAATGCAATGCCTATTGTAACCATGTGGGGTTATACAGACATGATTAAGAATTCTTTATTAAAGCTGAAATAACTATCAAACAGCCTAACAACAGTACAATGCTTTAACAGTAACAACTATGGCACACTGGGTCAAGGGTTGATATTAAATACCTAAAACAAAAAGATAAAAAGAAAAAGATAGGGGAAAGTCCAGGAGGATGCTTATGCCAGATCTACAGAAGCAACTCTAGTGATTTATTATTATTAATTATTATTATTATTATTATTATTATTATTATTATTATTATTATTATTATTATTTTACATTTTAAGTTCCTGGAGTTCAGAATTTTTTTATCTGCTTAAGTTAAACTTCCAAAATATGTAATGAAACCTTATACACTGTATTTCATTTTTTTATCATTCATATAATGAATAATAAAAATTTAAGTCCTTATCGTTATTTTTTTTTTATTTCTACTTTGCTTGATCTTTCTGTGGGACAGGAAGACCAGACCAGAAAGAAAAGAACTATATGAGAAGACCAGAACATTTTCAGTGGTACCCATTGTGATGTACAATGTGCCTCAGTTTCAAGACTCCTGTGCACCTCACAAAATGTACTGTAATATGCTTATATCTGATATACGGTTATTTCAGATCAATCTCTACATCAGTCTTGGTGGTATATGTGACAAGTTAAAACAGTCTTGGTGGCATGTGACAAGTTAAAACAGTCTTGGTGGAACGTGTGAGAAGTTAAAACAGTCTTGGTGGTATGTGTGACAAGTTAAAACAGTCTTGGTGGTATGTGTGACAAGTTAAAACAGTCTTGGTGGTATGTGTGACAAGTTAAAACAGTCTTGGTGGTATGTGTGACAAGTTAAAACAGTCTTGGTGGTATGTGTGACAAGTTAAAACAGTCTTGGTGGAACGTGTGAGAAGTTAAAACAGTCTTGGTGGTATGTGTGACAAGTTAAAACAGTCTTGGTGGTATGTGTGAGAAGTTAAAACAGTCTTGGTGGTATGTGTGACAAGTTAAAACAGTCTTGGTGGTATGTGTGACAAGTTAAAACAGTCTTGGTGGAACGTGTGAGAAGTTAAAACAGTCTTGGTGGTATGTGTGACAAGTTAAAACAGTCTTGGTGGTATGTGTGACAAGTTAAAACAGTCTTGGTGGTATTACCTGGACCTGGAGTTTACCTGGAGAGAGTTCCGGGGGTCAACGCCCCCGCGGCCCGGTCTGTGACCAGGCCTCCTGGTGGATCAGAGCCGGATCAACCAGGCTGTTGCTGCTGGCTGCACGCAAACCAACGTACGAGCCACAGCCCGGCTGGTCAGGAACCGACTTTAGGTGCTTGTCCAGTGCCAGCTTGAAGACTGCCAGGGGTCTGTTGGTAATCCCCCTTATGTATGCTGGGAGGCAGTTGAACAGTCTTGGGCCACTGACACTTATTGTGCTAGTGACACCCCTGCTTTTCATTGGGGGGATGTTGCATCATCTGCCAAGTCTTTTGCTTTCGTAGTGAGTGATTTTCGTGTGCAAGTTCGGTACTAGTCCCTCTAGGATTTTCCAGGTGTATATAATCATGTATCTCTCCCGCCTGCGTTCCAGGGAATACAGTTTTAGGAACCTCAAGCGCTCCCAGTAATTGAGGTGTTTTATCTCCGTTATGCGTGCCGTGAAGGTTCTCTGTACATTTTCTAGGTCAGCAATTTCACCTGCCTTGAAAGGTGCTGTTAGTGTGCAGCAATATTCCAGCCTAGATAGAACAAGTGACCTGAAGAGTGTCATCATGGGCTTGGCCTCCCTAGTTTTGAAGGTTCTCATTATCCATCCTGTCATTTTTCTAGCAGATGCAATTGATACAATGTTATGGTCCTTGAAGGTGAGATCCTCCGACATGATCACTCCCAGGTCTTTGACGTTGGTGTTTCGCTCTATTTTGTGGCCAGAATTTGTTTTGTACTCTGATGAAGAGTTTAATTTCCTCGTGTTTACCATATCTGAGTAATTGAAATTTCTCATCGTTGAACTTCATATTGTTTTCTGCAGCCCACTGAAAGATTCGGTTGATGTCCACCTGAAGCCTTGCAGTGTCTGCAATGAAAGACACTGTCATGCAGATTCGGGTGTCATCTGCAAAGGAAGACATGGTGCTGTGGCTGACATCCTTGTCTATGTCAGATATGAGGATGAGGAACAAGATGGGAGCGAGTACTGTGCCTTGTGGAACAGAGCTTTTCACCGTAGCTGCCTCGGACTTTACTCTGTTGACGACTACTCTCTGTGTTCTGTTAGTGAGGAAATTATAGATCCATCGACCGACTTTTCCTGTTATTCCTTTAGCACGCATTTTGTGCGCTATTACGCCATGGTCACACTTGTCGAAGGCTTTTTGCAAAGTCTGTATATATTACATCTGCATTCTTTTTATCTTCTAGTGCATTTAGGACCTTGTCGTAGTGATCCAATAGTTGAGACAGACAGGAGCGACCTGTTCTAAACCCATGTTGCCCTGGGTTGTGTAACTGATGGGTTTCTAGATGGGTGGTGATCTTGCTTCTTAGGACCCTTTCAAAGATTTTTATGATATGGGATGTTAGTGCTATCGGTCTGTAGTTCTTTGCTGTTGCTCTACTGCCCCCTTTGTGGAGTGGGGCTATGTCTGTTGTTTTTAGTAACTGTGGGACGACCCCCGTGTCCATGCTCCCTCTCCATAGGATGGAAAAGGCTCGTGATAGGGGCTTCTTGCAGTTCTTGATGAACACAGAGTTCCATGAGTCTTACCCTGGGGCAGAGTGCATGGGCATGTCATTTATCGCCTGTTCAAAGTCATTTGGCATCAGGATAACATCGGATAGGCTTGTGTTAACCAAATTTTGTGGCTCTCTCATAAAAAATTCATTTTGATCTTCGACTCTCAGTCT